GTGTGTCTGGCACCATGGGGCTGGGTGACGGTGACCAATGACTCTATTCCAGCCCCAGGGGAGATGAGGGGAGGGGGGCACAGGGCTGGGCTCAAGAGGGGCCAGCCAGGGCCTGAGACTAGTGGCCCCCCGTGAGTGGCTCAGCCTTGTCAGGACCCCCGAGGACACAGCCCTGCCCTAAGGACGCTGGGATGGGCCCATGACCCCATCCCCCAGAGCCCCCCACAGAAACCTCGCCCCTATCCTGCTCAGAGCCGGGGAGAGAACCCAGGAGTCCTGGCTCCTCCCAACCCCCACTGCTCTAACCCACCAGCGCCGCCTCCCAGAGCGAGGGAGACAACCCAGGCGTCCGGCCCCTTCGCCATGGTGGGTTTTTCCGCTTGACATTTCGCGTGTCGCCGCTCGGAGGAAGAGCTGGGAATCGGGCCGGGTAGCCGGACACACGGAGCTGCGCCCCGGCCCCCCTCCTTAGTGATCACCCCCCTCAGCTCCCCCCACCTCGCCAAGTCCTACCAACCCCCGCCCCCATTCTCAGCCCCTCCCACCTCCCCGATCCCCCCATCTCAGCCACGGCCCCACGACACCCCACTGCTCCCCGGGGACCCCTCCCCTGACTGAGACCCCCCCCACCCCGACCTGGCCCCCCCCGAACATCAGCCCCCCTCCAGGCCTATCTGCTCCCCCCCCCGGGATCCCCCACCCCAGAACCCCCCATCAGACCCTTTCCACCCCCCGTACCTGCTCTGTCCGTGTGTCCGGCTCCGCCTGCGCCTCCGTCCGCCCGTCTGTCCACCTTCACTTGCCTTTGACTGACTCTGGATACAAACAACACCCCCCCCCTCCATAGGCCCCGCCCCCCAGCTCGGGGCTGCCAATCCCAGGGCGGGGGGGGGGACTTCCCTGCTACAGCGCTGGCATAGGGGGAGGGGAAGTGGGGAGGGGTCAGAGTGGGGGGAGGGGACAGGGCGAGGGCAGAGAGTGGGGGAGGGGGAGGGGTCAGTATGGGGGGAGGGTATGGGTAGGGGGGAGTGGGCAGAGTGAGGGGATGGGGAGGGGATGGGGAAGGGGGCAGAGTGGGGGGAGGGGGATGGGCTCCCATCCTAGGGAGTCCACCCCACCAGGCCAGATTGGGGCTGGGCCCCCTGTGGGGGAAGGACCCCATGGCAGCCGCTCTCCCGCCTATTCCGTGCCATATTCCTGGGTCCCCCGTCCATCCGGTTGGACCGGTCTGAGCCTAGCCCTGCCCTGCACCAGCCAGCACAGCCGGCTCCTCCCAGCTCCTCAGCCACGGGCCAGGGCGTGTGCCCCCCAACCACCACAAACCAGGCTGTAGCTCCCAGCCCCCCGCTGCTCCCCTCCCCCCGCCAAAAAACAGTGGATAGAACCCAGGAGTTCTGCCCCCAACCCCACCTGGGGTTAGGACCCAGGTGTCCTGGCTCCCAGCCCCCCCAAACCCACTAGCTGTTCCGCTGGAGCAGATGGGCCAGATTGCGGGGGAGTGGAACCAGGCTGGGGGGCATGTGAGGGGAGGGACAGGCCCCTGGGGTGTGCAGCGGGGCTGTCATGAGTGCGGCTGGCTCCCATCACCCACTCAGTCCTGGACCAGGGTCCCTGTGGGACTGGTGTGTGGGGCACTGTCTGAGGGACCCACCGTGGGCAGCCCCTCCTGGCAGCCAGTCAGATGTGCCCTTCGCCACCACCCATCTGTCCATCTGTCCACCCTTCCCCTGCATCCATCCATCTCCTTCCCCCACATTCATCCATCCATCCATCCATCCTTCTCCATCCATCCACTCACCCCCTTCCCCCACTCATCCACCCTCCCATCCCCATGCCCACCCTCATCCCCCCACAGCCTCCACTCAGCCAGCTGTCCCCCAGGCCATCCCCCACACCCCCATGGCCAGCTCCTAGGGCCTCCCCCCCCAGCTCCTGGGGTCCTGCTCTGGGCAGGGCCCCTCATCTCGCACCCTCCAGTGGGGCTTTTCCTGGCTGCGCCACCCCTCCCGGCGAGCCAGGTGGACTGAGCAGGGTTTTACTTTGAGGCTGGGGCCCAGCGTCACCCACGGGGCCGGCGTCCGTCATCACAGGGCGGTTTTTGAGCCGGCACCAGGTGCAGTTATTCCGATGGGGCCACAGAGCATCCCAGTTCCTACATGCGAAACACTCCCCAGCGGGCGTCTGGGGCCTCCGGAGGCCAGTCCCCGTCCAACCCCCCCGGGAGGGCTGGGCCCTTCCCCGTTGGCTGCTTGGCTCTGACCGGCCCAGTTTGACCCAGTATCTTGGAACCCTGGTGGGGGGAGAGGGGGGGACACGACTCCCTGGTGATGTTACAGGCTGCCTAATCACCCCTCCTGCTCTCAGCATCTGCCCCCGCCATGGAGGGATGGTCCCTGCCCACCCCCACACCCCCCACAACCGGGCAGGCACCCAAAGCTTGCATGGGGAATTGCCGGATCTTTCGCCCCGACTGGCCACCAGAACCTCCCCGCCACGGGCCCGCATGGCTCAGGGTCCTGGGCCCCGCACTGCTGAGGGCGAGTCCCCGGCCACCTCCAGGCTCATTGCGGGAGGGGGGCGGGGGGAGAGTGGGTTTCCCATCTGAACTGTGGCTGGATTGAACCTTCCACGCGGATGGCTGAAGGGGTCCCAGGGTGGATGGGAAGGGGGGTGCAGCGGGAGTTGTTGGGGGACGGGAAGGGAAACTACACTGGGGGGGATTGAACTGGGGGGGTCCAGCCCTGATCACGTCCTAGCCCCCCTAGTGCCGGGGGTGGGGGGGAGGAAAGGCCAGAGGCCAATGCAGGGACAGTGGGGAAGGATGGGACGGCTGCCCCACCATGAGAGAAAAGTGTCACCCCCCATCCCAGCACTGAGAGCCTCTTTCTGACCCAGCCCCTCAGCGCCCACCCCTCAACCCCCTCTTGTCCCTTCCCCTCCCCCTTCCGCTTAGGTCCAGCCTTCAGTGCTCCCTTCCCCCGCCCCAGACTATGGGCCTGAACATTGTGTTCCCTTTGTGAACACACAGTCATGGGCCCAGAGCCACTTTAAAAACACCAGCCCCTTGCACACCCCCCCCCCAAATCGCAGCTCAGCCTGGATGGGGCGCCTGGATTATTAACCCTTTGCCCTGTGGAGAGAGACACTGAAGACACAGTTTGAGTAGGACCTACAAAAATACAAACTCTGTCCCAGTGGCCGCTGTGCAATCTAGGCCTTTGCATTCCTGTGCGTGTGTGTAGAGCCCAGGGCTGGGCTAGCGGAGGGGGGCTGCGGGTCAGGAGGGAGGGGCACCGGCAGAGCTGGGGGGTGGAGGGGAAGGAGTGAGGGGCCCCAGTGTGAGAGGGCTGTGAGTCGGGAGTGAGGGGCACCGGCAGAGCTGGGGAAGCCCAGGGCTGGGCTAGCAGAGTCTGAGGGGCACTGGCGTGGGAGGGCTGTGGGTCGGGAGTGAGGGGCACCGGCAGAGCCCTGTACGTGGGGCAGTGGGGAGGAGGCAGGAGGCGCCTGGATTCCTTGGCCAGGGCTCCGAGTTGCTGGCAGGGGAAGCTGCAAAACAAGCCGAGGGGGGTCGGATTGGAGACAAGAACCGGCTCTAAAAATAGGGCACTTGGCTGAGCATGTGAGCCAGGCCACAGCGATTTAAAGGGGCCGGAGCTGGGGGGAGAGGGGCCCGTGGGAGGACCCCCCAGAAGGCACAATTAACCCTTTGGGGTCCAGAACTCCCTTCCCCTCCCGTATCCTAGCTGCCAGCCCAAAGGAGTGGAGTCCACTGGTTAGAACAGGGGGGCCAGGAGCCAGGACTGGGAGGGCAGTGAGCTCTAATGGGTTGTGGGGAAGGAGCCAGGACACCTGGGTTCTATCCCCAGTTCGCTGTCTCGGCCCCTCCCTGAACAGCCTGGGACTCGAGTCAACACTTGCGGCTGCTTCGCTGCTGATTTATTCTATTTAATTAAATGAATTATGAGCCGGCCCTGAAGACACCAAGCCAGGGGAGATTAGCTGCTGTTGCACAGCCAGTAGAACAGTGCCCCTAGTGGGAGTGGTCGGGACTGCGGTGTGGGGCTGGAATGAACACTGACCCCTGCTGGGGAAATGAAATATTCCCATGCAGGATACGTGAGAGTGTGTGTGTGTGTGTGTGGGGGGGGGGGTGTAGCCCAGGGTAGGCTAGCTGGGGGCTGCTGGTCAGGACTGAGGAGCACTGGTAGAGTTGGAGGGAGGAGGGAGCCCGGATTGGGCTAGCAGGGGGCTGCGGGTTGGGAGTGGGGGGGCAGGGCTGGGCTAACAGGGCTGGGAGTTGGGGGGGTGGGTTGGGAGTGGGGGGGGCAAGGTTGGGCTAGCAGGGGGCTGCGGGTTGGGAGTGAGGGGCACTAGTGGGGAGCGGGGAAGCTCAGGGCCATCTGGGTGTGTCTGACACCCTGCTGGGTGGGTGAGCTTTGTTGCTCCACCCAAGGGACGTTGAGGTCCAGCCCTTGGCCCGCAGCCCCCAGTGGCGTCTCTCTCCCTGCGCGGGGCTGCTCGAGGGATGGGAACAATGTGAATGGGGCTGGCGGTGCCAAGGTGGGGGGGGAGCATCAATGCTCCTTTATGTGGCTCGCTGCGTGCCTGGGCTGATAATGTGCGGGGAGGGGGGGCAGGTCCCTCTGCCCCCTGGGCCCCTCCCTGCCCCAGTGCCCCCCTGGCATTTGCGGGGGGGACAACAGTGGCTGGATTAACCTATTGGGGAGGGGTGATGCCAAGCGAGGCTGGCGGAGGGGGCCTGGACTCCCCTGAGCCAGCCGGGTCCCGCCCTGGGGCTGGATGGGAGCTGGCACCCCCTAGAGGGCACAGGCCCTGTGCCGCATCCTCCCCCCAGTCTGCCAGGCCCCGCCCTGGGGCTGGATGAGAGCCTAGTTCTGGCACAGAACGGACCTGAAAATTGATTCAATGGGGCCAGCTGGCGGCCAGAGACTGGCAGAGAAATTCCTCCCCATTTAGCATCAGAAAACTGAAACCCAGGGCAGGGTCAGTGAGGCCGCGAGGGGAGACGCGGCTGCCTGGGGCGGGTGTTGCAGGTTATACAGGGACGCCTCACCCAGTGCTGAGATGAGGCCACCTCTGGGGTGGGGCATGAGGTCTGGTTACATAGGAACTGTTTGCCCAGCTCTGAGAAGCGGCTGCCTCGGCGGGGAAGGGAGATGGGGGGGCTGGTTATACAGGGGCCCCTCGCCTGGCACCGAGACGTGACTGCCTCAGTGGGGCTATACAGGGACCCCTCGTTCATTTGGAAAAAACAAACGATGGTGGTGTTGCCCCCACAGTGGCTGGGAGCGGCGTGGGGGATACGGAGCCGTGGGGTCAATGCTGCAGCGGGTGATGTTATGATGAACTCAGATCTGTATCATGATCAGAGGTAGGCTGTGTGATGAAGCGGGACTGTTCTTAATGTTTTCTCTGAATAGTGTGGGGGTGCCTCAGTTTCCCCTATGCAGTTCTTAAGTATCTAGGTAGTGGGATAAGGGTGTATGATCATTGCAGAGCCCTAGAGGGCAGGTGTGTGCAGGGGTCTGGACACCGAGAATGGCCGACACCCTGTTTCCTGGCCACTGATGGCCTGGCCCTTCCCGCCTGCAAGGTGAGAGCTAAAGGGTTGGAGAACAAAGGAATCAGGAGACCTCCTGGCCCGGGAAAGGGACAAAGCCCAGAGGAGGAGGGGCTGGAGAGAGTTTCAGTTTGGTGCTGGGTGGTGGAACGCAGGGAACCCCAGGGCTGGGGTCTAAGCTTCCTGCCCCCAGAAGGACTTGACTGAGGGGTCCTGGTTGTGCCGATCAGCTCTGTTTTAGACTGTGTTCCTATTGTCCAATAAACCTTCTGTTTTACTGGCTGGCTGAGAGTCCCAGTGAATCCCAGGAAGAGGGGTGCAGGGCCCGGACTCCCCCACACTTCATGACAGGCTGTACAGTTGGAGACACAGGGGACCGATTGGGATTTAGAAGGGATAAGTGGACATGAGATATCTAAGTAAAGCAGGGCTGAAACCCACTGTCCACAGCAGTGAGATGTGATCTCCCAGCTTCGTCAGACGACGCCCTAGGCGTAAGAAATGCTTGACATAAGTAAATGACCAAAGAGCGACTCTTATATCACAAGATCAGGAGAAAGACGTGCCGACGGGTGATGCTGCGAAAAAGCGACCGTGATGTACGTAGAGGCTCTAAATCTGAACCAAGTAGCAGAGGGGACTTTCCCTCCATTGGGCTTGTAACTGGCCACCAGAGACGAACCCACGGTGGTGTAAGAGAACATCACTAACTCGATGCTAAATAAAAATAAAGGCTCCAGCCAGCGTGGGGTGGAGCTTAGTTCTCCTCTTCAGCTAGCAGGAGGCAGATGCATCCGAATTGGTGGTAGCGGTGGCATCCCAGTTGGGGGTTAGCTCTGGGCTAGGCACAGGCTGGCCAGGTGGGGCTGCACCCAGTGGCCCCTGCTGGCCTCTAAGCTCCAGGTCGGAGGCCCAGGGTAGCTTGGGGGGCGGGTTCAGGGATCCCGGGGCAGGGGGAGCTCAGAGCTCGAAGACGGCAGGGCCAATGTTTAAGCCCAGCAGGGCGTTGGCAGCTTCCAGGCACTCACTCAGCCGGGGCCCTGAAACAAGAGAGGGGTCAAGGGGGAGACACCAGCCTGGGCAACAGGGAGGGTCGGGGCAAAGGGCAGAGAGCTCACAGAATGGGGGACTGGCATGAGGGTCAGGGACCTGGAGGGGTGCATGGGGGCCCAGGGAGGGAGCCAGGACTGTGACAGCGAGCAGGAAGCTGGGAGACTGTCATGGGACTGGAGGGCTCTGGGGGGGCCAGATTGGGGGGCCAAGAGGCAGAGGTTGGGGCTGGGCTTTTGGGGGCTGGGCTGTAGAACCTGGGGGGCAGGGCTCTCAGGGATGGGGGCCCTGTGAGGCAGGGTTGGGGCATTGAGCCCTTGGGGCAGGGGATCTTGGGGGAAGGCTGGGCTGTGGGGTTCCCATGAGGCAGAGTCTTTCCAGTCGAGACCCTGGGCCCTGCTCCTGACCCCCCACTCCCCTCTCACCTGCTTGGCCCCGCACCCAACCCACAGCCTTGGCCTCCAGCAGCTCCCACTCGTCGCGTTGCCCCGCGGCCCGGCCGTGCAGCCAGACCACGGCCAGCACCGTGGCCCAGATGCCGGGAGGCATGTCCTTGGGGGGGAGGGGGAAGAGACAGCCTGAGACAGCACCCAGCCTGGGGAAACGCTGCCCCCATCCCCCCACCCTGGGGACCCCCTGCCTCCCAGCGCTGCCCCCCATGCCCTCACCCTGGGGACCCCCCAATCCAGTGCTCCCGCCCACTCCCCAGAATCAGAGGGTTCCCAGCCCCCCTGCTGTAGCACCATGGACCCCCTACCCAGATGCCCAGTGGGGTAGGGAGACAGCCCGGGGGTAGGGAGACAGCCTCAGAGTGGGCCTGGCCTGGGGCCCCCCATGCCTCCCCCAGCCCTGGGGCCTCTTGATCCAATGCTCCGACCCCCTGTAAGTGGGGTCCCAGACCCCCACTCTGGGTCCGTCTCGCCGACTGGGCTCCAGATTCAAGAGTTATTTGATCCAGTTGCCCTCAGACCCACCCCCTCAGTTTGGGTCACCCTGTCTCATCTAGGAGCAGAGAACAGGCTCAACTCATGGCACCTGCCTCCCATCTCTCCCCTGTCCCTCGCCTCCCGCACTCACCTGACTGGGCATCCTCCCCTTGGCATCGGTCTCGCTTACCCCCAGCGCGGCGGCCAGCTGGGGGTCCAGGTCCCACGAGCCGTCAGCATTCTGCAGAGACACCAGCCTCAGCAGGGGAGACTCCTCTGGTGCCCGCTCTAGGGAGAGACGTGGGGAGATGGGGCTGGGACATGGTTACAGAAGAGTGACATGGCCTGTCCAGGTTGATTCTCCCCCACTCATGCCGCCCATCCGGTTTGCCCCCTCCAAAGAACTTTAGCTCATTGATACAAACTCACACCCCAAATTCCAGCTTCACAGAGTTTTGTGCCTGGGAGTTTCCTTATCTTTTTTCATTTTGTTGCAAGATAATTTGCATCACAACACTTAAAAAACCCAGCTGTGGACTCCCCCTCCCGCAGCGTCACACCGGTGTTTTGCCCAGGAAGTTCCTTCGGAGCGGATGTCGCTGTTAAACACTTGCCCAGCTCCGTGACCGTCAGGGCACGTCTGTCTCGGCCCCGAGGAAGCAACATCCTGGCGTTTGCCGCCATCCCGGTGCCCTGACTCCCAGCCACTGCCCCCCTCACCTGGCTTGCCGCGGCACCGGGCGAGGCGTGTTCTCAGGACTTTCCACAGTTGCCCTTTCACTGGGGGCTTTCCTGGTTCAGCTATGGGTGGGGGAGGAGGCGGACAGTTCTGGGCTTGGGGAGCACATGTGCGGGGGCCGCTCCTGCCGGTGCGTGCCATACATTCGTTCTTGAACAGCTCCATGGAGGGGTGGTCCTCTCTGGCCTCGAGGGGGGAAGCAGGCAACAGGACGCTGCACTCATGGGAGGCGCATCTGGGCATGGGCCTGTGGGATCTACATGCCATCAGCGAGAGACACTGCGTGTACGGCATCCTGGCCGCAGCCTTGAAGCCTGGGGGGGGCAGACAGACGGACACGGAGACAGACAGAGAGAAGCTAAGGGAGGGAAGAACCCGCCCGCCCCCCGGCACCCAGAGCCAACGCACTGCTGGGGCCCCTCCTCCCTGCCCGCCAGCTGGGACCCCCTCCCCGCACCCAGCCCCATCCTCTTTTCCCCCTAGCTACCTCTGAGTCCCTCCCCCGCCGGACTGTGACCCCCCAGATCCAGCCTCTCCCCCACAGCTTCCCCCCAGGAAGGAACCTTCCTCCAGCCCCAGGGGATACAGGGGTGGGTGCTGCACCCCATGGATGAGGGCAGGACTCTGTGGGGCAGGGATGGGGTGGCACAGCCCCATGGGAGCTGGGGCAGGGAGAGGGGCAAAGGGACATTCGCCCAGAAACATGATGCCCCTCCATGCTTCCAGATCCCCCTCTCGCACTGGGATCCCCCTGTGCTGGAATTCCCTGTCCCCCTCCCCCCCCAGTGCCAGGTTCCCGCACCCACCTGAGCTTCCCCCCCACCCCGCCTCGCACCCGGTGCCAGGATCCCTGACCCCTCCAGGGTTACCTGCCAGCGGGATGTCCCGTCTCACCAGCGGCCCCTGCACTGGCTGCCTCCACTCTGTGTCCACCCCCACGTAGGCCGTGACGGAGCAGACGACCCCCGAGCTCAGGCTGGTCTCCAGCGCCCGGTGCCGGTCCTCCTCCGACCCGGCCCCCACGGCCCCCTCCAGCTCCAGCAGCAGTGACATGGCTGCCAGCCGGTGAACGGGCAGCCTGTGCCGGGGACAGAGAGTCGCGGGGTGAGCCCTGTTCCAGCCGCACGGTGGGGAGCAGGGGCTAGTGGGATGGTGTGTGTGTGGGGGTTGGGAGCCAGGACTCCTGGGTTCTATCTCTGGCTATAGGAGGGGAGTGGGACCTAGTGATCTGCATTGCCAGCAGATCGAGGGACGTGATCGTTCCCCTCTATTCGGCACTGCGTGAGGCCTCATCTGGAGTACTGTGTCCAGTTTTGGGCCCCACACTGCAAGGATGTGGAAAAGCGTCCAGCGGAGGGTAACAAAAATGATTAGGGGTCTGGAACACATGACTTATGAGGAGAGGCTGAGGGAACTGGGATTGTTTAGTCTGCGGAAGAGAAGAATGAGGGGGGATTTAATAGCTGCTTTCAGCTACCTGAGAGGGGGTTCCAAAGAGGATGGATCTAGACTGTTCTCAGTGGTAGCGGATGACAGAACAAGGAGTAATGGTCTCAAGTTGCAGTGGGGGAGGTTTAGGTTGGATATTAGGAAAAACTTTTTCACTAGGAGGGTGGTGAAGCACTGGAATGCATTACCTAGGGAGATGGTGGAATCTCCTTCCTTAGAAGTTTTTAAGGTCAGGCTTGACAAAGCCCTGGCTGGGATGATTTAGTTGGGGTTCGCCCTGCTTTGAGTAGGGGGTTGGACTAGGTGACCTCCTGAGGTCCCTTCCAACCCTGATGGTCTATAATTCTATGAAGGGGACTGGGAGCCAGGACTCCTACGTGCCTCTGTGGCCTGGGGCAGGTCCCATCCCATCTCTGTCCTGTTGGGGGTGGGAAAATGGGGTGGCGGTGGGGGGCAGGAGCCAGCTGCCTAGTGGGGGATGGGGGCCGGGGGAGTGTTGCTGTCACCTGTCTCCATCTTGTGGCTGCAGGGGGAACTGCAGCATCTCCTTGTAGGTCTGGTCCTGGACGCGGTACTGCAGGGTGACACAACCCACGGCAGTGTCTGTGGGCTGCAGGCAGAGAAAGGGGGTCATAGGGGCAGTGTGAGGGGGGAGAAGATGCCCAGGGACCCCCAGACCCATGTTACAGAACAAAGGGGGTAAATACACCTGATGAACACCAGTTGTTGGGCTGCCTAGTCAGCCAAATGACCATCATTAGGGGCCAGGGTCAACATCCCTGTTTGAGATCAGTGGGGTGGGGTAGCACAGAGACCTCCAGCTCAATGGCCATTGTCAGGGGTTAGAGTTATCGCCCAGGGGTTGGGGGGTGTTCCCGAATCAGTCACTGATCCCAAGCCCTGGGGGCGCCCCGGGCAAGGGCCTTGCTCTCTCACCTGGGGCTGCCCACGGAGCTGGGCGTAGATGAGGCACCGCTGCCCAGGGAAGATCACCTCAGGGCCCCGGTCCAGCAACTCTGCCTCCATCCCAGGGGGCAGATCCCAGCTCAGCGAGATCCCGGTCACGGCCGGCTGCAGGGCCCGCTTCAGAGACTGCAGCGCCTGGGGGAGAGACCGATATACCAGGGTGGGGCCAGGACGCCTGGGTCCTACCCCCGGTCTGGAAGGGGAGTTGGGGCTAGTGAGTTAGAGCACGGAGGCTCGGAGTCCGGACTCCTGGGTTCTCTCCCAGCTCTGGGAGGGGGTGGGGTCTGCTGTGTTAGAGCTGGGGGAGCCTGGACTTCTGGGTTCTCACCTTGGGCTGCATGCGGTCCTGGCCCGTGATGAACTCGGCGCTGCCCCCTGCTGCCCGGGCAATGCCTTTGACCAGAGCTGTGGAGGCTCCAGCCCCGATACCGAAGGAGAAGCATCTGCAGGGGGGCAGAGACAGGAGAGAGAGCGGCAGAGGTTGGGGGCCCAGCCAGTGCTGGGGTGGGGGCAGTGCAGTTGGAGAGGGGCCAGTAGGGCTGAAGGGAATGGGCTGGGGGGTCTCCCCATACTGGCAGGGAGGGAAAGCAGAGTTGGGGAGATGATAGGGGCAGGGGTCCCCATGGAAGGATGGGCAGAGATTCTGGGGGGTCCCCATGGAAGGATGGGCAGAGATTCTGGGGGGTTCATCTCCCTCGAAGCCGGGGCACTTGCTGGTTTGAACTGGAATAACTAGGGGGGCTCTGGGACCTGACTTTTGTAACTCAGGGTTTGGGGGTGTTGGTGACTCAGCCCCAGGGGTTGTGGCTTTCTTGTGGGGGGCCAGGGGCTGTCTTGTGCGGGGCCAGGGGCCAAATGAGATGATCAGGATGGTTCTTTCTGGTATGAAAGTCTCTGAGTTTATCCTCCCTGGCCCCATTCCCTTCTGAGAGGCCCCCAGAATCCCCCTCGGCTCCCCCAGCCCCTCTCTGAGCCCCCGGAACACCTTGCTACTGCCCCCAGTACCTGGCGTGGGTGCCCATCCTGGCAGGGGCTGCGGTAAATGGCTCGTAGAGGCTCCAAGATCTTGGTGCCCCCCAGGTCGGCCTGGAGCTGCTGGACGCGCTGCAGGGACTCGGCCATGGTCTGTTGGGTGTATCCCACACTCTGCCTGTGGGGGGCGCTGAGCGGTCAGGGGCCGGGACAGCTGGAGCCAGAGACACCCCTACCCCAGCCTGCCCTGCTCCCAACCCAGGGACACCCCAACCCCAGCCAGGCCTGCCCCCCACCAGACCTGTCCTGACCAGCCCTGGCCCCAGCCCACAGACACCCCAACCCCAGCCTGCCCTGTCCGCAGCCAGGGACACCCCAATCCCAGCTAGCCCTGTCTCCCACCAGACCTGTCCCTGCCAGCTCTGCCCCCAGCCCACAGACACCCTGACCCTGACCCTAGCCAGCCCTGTCCCCAGCCAGCCCTGCCTCCTAACCCAACCAGCCCCTTTCCTGCCCTGCCCTGCCCCTTTGACTCACGGGTAGAAGGACTCAAAACGAGATCCAAAGCCATAGATGTTGAAATAACAGCCCAGGGGCAAACTCTTCAACAGCAGGACCAGGGTCTCCTGGGGATGGAGAGAGATGGACGGAGTCACCCCCATGTCCAGCCAGTCTGAGCTGCCCCCTCCCTCCCCCAGCTCTGCCCCCTGGGCCCAGCCAGCCTGGGCTTCTCCCCCCCGGCTCTGCCCCCTGCTCCCCCCCTGTTCTGCCCCACGGGTCCAACCAGCCTAGGCTGCTCCCCTGCACGGCTCTGCCTCATGGGCCCAGCCAGCCTAGGCTGCTCTTCTCCCAGCTCAGGCCCTCTGGGCCCAGCCAGCCTGGGCTGCTCCCCTGGGCTCTGCCCCATGGGACCCTTCTAGCATGGCCTCCTGCCAGGCTTACTCCTGATGGAATTCTGCACCACTGCGCAAGCGCAGAACTCATGTGTCCTGCAGAATTTATTTCCTGCAGAAAATACATTTCTGCCTGAGAAGTTCTGCAGTTCCGCCTTTCACCCACCAAAGGCCAAAGTGGTGCCAGAACAGCCAGCAGCATGAACGCAGTCGGCTGTTGTGGGCAAACAGCGTAACTGCAGCACTTCTGGGGCAGAATGTATTTTCTGTGGGGAAAAAAATTTTGGTGCATGCCTGGTGCTTCAGAATTCCCGCAGGAGAAGAAGTTCATCACAGCAACCTGCTAGCAGAGCCAGGTTACGACAGACAGAGTGGGGCACATAGGGCTGCTGGGTGGGACAGACTGGGGCACAGGCTCAGGATCTAGTGGGGTGACACCATTGAGCCAGGAGCTGAATGGGAGTGGGGGTGCAAGGCCACATGGGAACGAGGGTAGAGGAGATGCAGGAACACATGGGGATGGGTGTGTGTGTGTGGAGGAACAGGGGCAGATGTGGCTGACTGAATGGGAGAGGCTTGGGGTCGGCCAGGATCTACATGGGGGAGGCTCCCCAACTCCCTAACAATTTGCCACTACCCCCAAAACACCTGTTCCATACTTCTCCCATCCACACCCAACAACCCTCCCGATTCGCTCCAGGCTCCTTCCCTCTCCCTCAGATCCTCTGTTACCCCTGACTCCCCCAACCCTTTGCACTGCTTCTGAGGGTGGCAGGAAATACGGTTCTGTATTGTAGTTTAAATGAATTACTCAAAGTTCTGTGTTAATATGCCCAGTAAGGAATATATTTGTAAAAACATTTTTTACCAAAATCTTTTTGTTGTCTGTATTGTTACAGACATACTTTCTGATAGATATTTTGAAATAAATTACCAAAATAATTGAAACTGGCATAATTATATTCTGTTATTTTGACAAAAAATGCAGATTGTTGCAGAATTTTAAAACATTGTGTGCAGAATTTTAATTTTTTGGTACAGAATTCCCTGAGGAGTACTGGCCGTACCTTGGCGCTGTCGATGCGCTTGGGGGAGCGGTCTTGGCCGTCCATGGGGCACTCCATGCTGCCGGAGCGGTCCAGCAGGAAGATGAACTCTCCGGCTGGGCTCTGGCCCGGCACCGCCTCGGGCAGGCTGGGCAGCAGGGTCACCATCACGGCCGGGTTGCCCATCAGGGAGCCTGTAGGGAGATGGGGCCAGCCCCAAATGGGGCGGACATGGGGTCGAGCCCTATGAGAGCCTTCAGCATTCCCTGACTGCCCCAGAACCCCACCCATACTCCTCTGTCTCTCCCCCCACAGCTCTTTCCCCCAGATCCCCCCCACCCCCAATCTCCAGCTCCCAGTGCCTGCCCTTTCATCCCACATTCTTCCTCATGCCCCCCAGATCTGCAGGGCACCCCACTGCCTGGCTCCTCCAAAGCACTCCACCCTCCTACCCCCAGCCCTTCCAAGAGCCCCTGCTCTGGACCCCCACACCCGAGTGCCCACCCCCTGATCCTGTCCCCAATCCCCTTCACACACTCTATCCCGAGTTCCTTCAACGCCCACCCCTAATCCCCACCCCACAGTCCCTCCCCACCCAGGGGAAGCAGGGTGTGGGACCCCCACCCCCACCTGGCTCTGCTTCAGGCAACCTGGCCTCCAGGACCACGCTGGGTTTGTGTGGCTCTGCATAATACACCAGCAGCTCCACGTCCCGGTCCCACGGTGGGGCCTGGGCTAGTGACACCTGGGGGGGTGGTGACAGACACACAGTCCCCTCCCTTCAGTTCCTGGGGGGCAGGGTCTCGCTGGCTCTCGCTCCTGACTCAGTGCCCCTCCATGGAGCCAGAGGGGAGGGGGTGACCCGGGAACGTGAGCTGCACCCTCCCTGGGAACTTGGGCTGGGCCCCCTGGGTTAGGTGGGAGGGAGAGAGGGAAAAACACCTGGGGAAAACACTACAAAACTCTGAATTTTGGGGGGTGCTAAATCTTTCCAATTTGAGGGTGACATTTCCCCCCCCCCATTTTATTCCACTGAAAATGAAGGAGAGGGAAACTCCCAGAAAGTGAAGGGGACCAGGGCACATCGAATGCCCAGGATTTCACCCCATGGGCTGGTCTCAGCCCCTCAAGATTTTCCCCAGAGAACTCGGGGAATTCCCCGGATCCGTTTGTGTAGCTCACCCCTCCCCCACACCTTCTGGGACACACCCCCTGCCCCACCCCAGAGCTCCCACAGCTGTATATGTCCCCACAGGACCCATGCCCAGATGGTCCCCTGGGACCTGCCCCACCCAGCCTCGCCCCAAATCCCCCCCAGCCCTGTCCCCTGGCATCCACCCCTCATCCGAGAGCCCCCCATCACCCCCTCACTCAGAGCTGCCCCCCACTGCCCCTCCCAGCAGGGCTGGTCAGGACCCATGCATCTGGGCAAGCCCTTACCTGGGCGCTGGTCCGGTTCCCAGCCGTGTAGCTCAGGGGGGTGAGGGAGCAGTTGGAGAGCACACGGTCGATGCCGTGGGGCGACTGCAGTGTGGCGCTCAGACTCAGGGTGTAGGGCAGCGCCCCCTGGGGCACCCGCGGGACCGCCTGGGTGACATCCGCTCTGTCCCACCCTGCAGAGAGACACGGGGTGAGAGCCGGGGGCTGGGAGAGTGGGGGGGGGGTCATGGGATATTGGTGGGCATGGGGAGATGTGGGATATTGGGGAGGGCCCAGGGGAGTCACATACTCTGGGATAGGGATTGCGGGGCACTTACCGTGGGGGACATAGCAGTGACCTATGGAGTGTTAAGGGGTTATGAGGATCCATGTGGGTCTTTCCCTGGAGGATATGTAGCAGGGGCTATGGTGTCTTATTGGATTACAGGCTGTGGGGTCACTCACCATGGGGTGCATAGTGGGGGTTCAGGGGGTCATGGGTGTCACCATGTAGGGTAAAGCAGGGATGGGGAGGCTATGGGTCTCACCATAGGGCATGTAGCTGGGGGTGTGGGGGACTATGGGAGGCAAGGAGTTATGCAGGGCTATGTGTTTCACTGTGGGGTGCATAGCAGGGTTATGGGGGGCTAGATGTACAGGGCGCTACATTAGCCAGTGGGGGAAACTGTAAACAAGAGATTTACAACTCACCCGAAGGACAGTTGGCAGCTCACGTATGCCCTGGAGCTGCCTAGCCACGTAGCCCGGCCAGGACTTTTCCAGTAAGAAGCGCCAGAATATAAAAAGGGGGGAAACCGGCCCCAAGGCACCTCTCCTCCCACTTCGTTCCTGACGGCAATGCGAACACTCAGCAGACATTGAACTGGGGAGCTTGGTGCCAGGCTGGGAAGGGAGTCCAGCCTGTGCACTCAGAACTGGCAGCTGCCTGCAGCATCCTGTAGGGCAGGAGTTCTCAAACTGGGGGTCGGGACCCCTCAGGGGGTCGCGAGGTGATTACATAGAGGCTTGTGAGCTGTCAGCCTCCACCCCAAACCCCGCTTTACATCCAGCATTTATAATGGTGTTAAATATATAAAAAGGTGTTTTTAATTTATAAGGGGGGGGGTCGCACTCAGAGGCTTGCTATTTGAAAGGGGTCACCAGTACAAACGTTTGCGAAACACTGCTGTAGGGTGAGAAAAACTGTCTGCTTCAAACCTTTCTTAACATGGTAAGGGTTCAAGACGGAGAATGCACATTTAACTTTTATTTCTTATGTAACCAGTTCCGACCTTTGTGCCCCATAACTTGGGATCACTTACAACCCTTCCTTCTCTAGCTATTAAACTCGCGTTTGTGTTTGATCTAAACCAGGGCGTTGGACTGGAGTGTCTGGGGAATGTCACTGAGCCCAGCAGGGCTGGTGAAGGATCGTTACCCTGGGACGGCCTGACAAACTAATCGATGAACTCGTGCTGCGCAGTGACCGGACTGGACAGCACAAGACGCACATCTCTGGGGTGCGAGGCTGGGGCTGGAGAATTTGCGGATGTTGCCCTGGGTGTGGTTCCGGCGTGGCGGGGAGAGCTTCATGCAACTCAGCTGGGGGTGTGTTTGCACACTGGTGGCTGCGTGTGAGCAGAGCCTGGAGGGGCCGGGCGTTCACACAGCAAAGCCGTGTGAAAGACTCCCTGGGCTGGAGGATTAAGGGGGAACAGCGATTCAGCAATCCAGGAATGCCACACTGGTACAGTGCGAGCAGGGTTATATGCACAGCTTGTTGCTGAGTGAAGTCTGCACTTGGAGCACACAGGCGATGATTTTAAGTGGGCTCAAGTGTGAACAGGTTCCAGTTTTTTTATTTTCTCTTCGCTTATTTCGGGAAAGGGAAATAGACACAGAAAGGTACAAAAATGAGCCAGCATGATGCAGTTGCAAAGTTAGCGCTGTGCAAACTGCAGGTAGCAGGAAAGGAGAAAGAATACCAGTGAACCTTGGAGCTGAAGGTTGAGGCTCACCAGCCCGTGCCGAAGGAGCAAGAAATAACTGCGGCCCCGGACATAGCAGCACATCAGAAAGCTTGGAGCTGCGAGGCAAAGAGGGAAAACCCCAGCTGGAAACATTAGACCAACAGAAGGAAATCCCAGTGTCACCAGCAGCTTCCTTTAACTCCAAATGTTTCGGACTGGGACCAGCTGTGGGCCTGTATACATAGAAACAGACTGTATGGAGGAATATTTCACCACTGCTGAAAAGCTGGGTGGTGCCCATGGGATTCCAGAGGGCAAGGGAATCCTCACACTCCGTGCAGAACTGCCTGGTAAAGCCTGGGCTGTACCCAATGCAATGCCATTTTTCTGGACGCTTTGGCATAGTCTACGTTTATGGATACTGTTTTGAAAGAGTTTCAATTTACTCCTGAGGTGTGTAGGACAAAATGTAGAGGTCTTCAAAGGAATGCTGGTGTGAGTAATCGGGAGTACGTTTACAGGGTGAAGGTGGGGCAGATTTTGGACAACTGCTAGATCTCATTGGCCAAGGATGTTTCCGGAGTCTCTGGGCTAACGATGCGAAGCAGCGTCTGTGACAGAAATGGTCACTTTGGATGACATCTTTGAGCACTCTCAGATGTCTAACAAGTCACAGAAAAAGAGGTTTAAAGCTGGGGCGAAGGGGGGATCCCATTTTATCTCTGGGAAAAAGGAGGGGGACTGGGAGGCTGGGCACCCACCTCCCCCAAAACCATTCTTCTAATCTCCTCCCCAAACCTCCTGTAAAAACAGAGGAGCACCTGTCATGGTAATTCCACTGCTCCCGGAGAACCCATTGCTCTGCGCGGAGGGACAGACAGCCCCGGGCAGCCCGTGTTAGTACCACTGTGCTCAGCACAGAAACCTCTGAGGAGCCTGAAGCGTACCACATTGGTTTTGTGGGATTTGGCTTTGCAGAGCCAGACGGGACATACTGAGACTTAGAATTAGTAACAGGGAACACCTGGGATGGGAAGATACAGGTGCACAGATGACTGTGGCTAAACAGATTGTCATGCAAGAAGGTGACATGTGGCCAGGTCAAATGGAAGAGATTTTACCAGTTGGAGGAGTCAGGACTCCTGGGCCTTTAGCCAAGGTGCACACAGAATCTGGTGGCTCCGAAAGTGAATTGAAGGTGGGAACAGTGGACGATATCCCTGTCGACCTGCTTGTGGGGAATGATGTTTTCTGCACAGCTGAGGTTGTTCGTGTGGCAAGCTGCTGCCACAGGAAGGAATACTGTGCTGGAACCCCAGCGGGAAATGGGAAAGCCCCAGAGACTGCTAATGGAAACAGAGGAAGGCTCTCTGCTCTGCAGCGTGCTTCCAGACATGGGAGGGGTTGAGACCAGCTTCTGTACCACAGCAGAAGGCAACATGTCCTCTGATCCCAGGGAGCAGTAGGGAGAGCCTATAACAGAGGACACTGTTCCAGGTGGCGACTGGCAGAGTTTTGCAGCTGAGCAAACCATAAATCTAGCTCTAGAGGGCACCAGGGAAGGGATCTTAGAGGGGGTCCCAGGAAAGGAAAATGGAGAGAGGATTTTTGTAGAAAATGGACAGCCCCTGTAAGCAGCTGGCTGTGCCTGGCCAGCCTTGTGGGGAAGTAGTGTTGTTAGCACACGGCTGTCCTCACACTGGTTGCTTATGGGGGAAATGCAGACTCAGCCCCTGTCCACTCCAGCAACAGAGTCAGAGGGTGGACCGTGCAGCTGAGGAAAGCGGTCTCACAGCCAGCTCCTTGGGGACATGGGGTGGGGGTGGTGACAGACAGGCTCCCACTCCAGACCCTAGAGTAGATGGCCGGTTGTATTCTCCAGGTGACCAGTCTGGAAAGACTTCTGGAAAGTGATGGTCTCTCTTTAAAACAGGATGTAAACTCGGCTTGGGGAAAAGGGGTCAGTGAAGACGCAACAACCTGGCTGATAGGGTGGGGGTGGTTTCCCTCCCGAGGGACAGCACCAAGGAAGCAGCTGAGAGAATAGTACTAGTTACAGAAAAGGGGGCTAGGGAAGGACGGCTCTGAAGGCGAGGGGAACACGGTAACCCCAAGGGGGAGGGTGGCCTTCTTACAGATGCATCGCCATGGGGTTGGGACACAGCTCCAGTGGGGGCCTGCCCATGTGGGGGAGCCCCCTGCATCGCTGCCTCACCAGCCCCTGAGACACCCCAGCCCCACAGACAGGGCTGGATTAAGAGCGGATACCGAAGGGAACCCTAAGGTGAAGAAAGAGCCAAAAACTAATTGAGGGCAAAGGTTTGGTTAAAGAGTTAAATGACACAATGAGTATGACGCAAACCCACCTCAGGGACAGACTGCATAAACAAAAGGCGTGATGTGACAGAGATATGTGCAAACGCCTTTTTACAAGGAGAAACTTGGTGTTAATGTTTAACCCCGTTAAAAGCTCCAATAGGCACAGTGCTTGGAAATGATGGACGTGGCAAACAAGAACAAAGATTATTTCAAGAAGCCTCACGGTAATGCTGTTTTACAGATAATGCATGCAAGCAGACTTAAAACCCATCACGGCGGAGAAGCCATGGCAAACATGATCTGCTGTGTAGAAAGGGAAACTGAGGCACAGCACCTCATTGATTGGATGGCCAAATGCCAAGGTAATACTTTCCAGAATGTAAGTAATATCCACCTGGAGATAACACCAGTTGAAGCGACAGAAGTGATATCAGTGATGCAAGAACAGAAAATGGTGTTTTCCAACCAGCCAGGAAAGACATATGCTAACTCATGAGATTGCTAGACTGGTCCCTAAAGCGTTAAAGGAGATAACCACATATGCTTGTGCAAAGTTGTGGAACATCAGAAGCACACTTGGGAATTATGCTGTCTAAACTCAAACGGGCCTTAACGCACCCTGCCTTGGGGTCATAGAATCATAGAATCATAGAATATAAGGGTTGGAAGGGACCCCAGAAGGTCATCTAGTCCAACCCCCTGCTCGAAGCAGGACCAATTCCCAGTTAAATCATCCCAGCCAGGGCTTTGTCAAGCCTGACCTTAAAAACCTCTAAGGAAGGAGATTCTACCACCTCCCTAGGTAACGCATTCCAGTGTTTCACCACCCTCATAGTGAAAAAGTTTTTCCTAATATCCAATCTAAACCTCCCCCACTGCAGCTTGAGACCATTACTCCTCGTTCTGTCATCTGATACCATTGAGAACAGTCTAGAGCCATCCTCTTTGGAACCCCCTTTCAGGTAGTTGAAAACAGCTATCAAATCCCCCCTCATTCTTCTCTTCTGCAGGCTAAACAATCCCAGCTCCCTCAGCCTCTCCTCATAACTGACACGCCGATGGTTTCTGAAGTGGGAAGCCGTGACCGTCTGCACTAGCATGGCCGACCCTTGTACGAGAGGACGACAAATCTGGGACAAGTCTGCTGAATAGTACGGTCCTGTTAAAAGGTGTGCGCCCGGCGTTATGAGATTCTGGTCTATGTTTGTAACTGCACCGCCTTGTAAAACTGAGAAATGTCCACAGACAAGCACCTCAGAGGCTGGGTGACCAACATCCAGCCAGGTGCTATGCAACCATCCCCGGCCATTTGCCAGTGGGGAGCTGTAAAGGAGAGATTTACGACCAACCTGAAGGACAATTGCTCGCTCACCTATGCCCTGGAGCTGCCTAGCCACGTAGCCCAGCCAGGACTTTTCCAGTAAGAAGCGTCAGGATATAAAAAGGGGGAAAACTGGGCCTTGGGCACCTCTCCTCCCCCTTTCTTCTTTCCTGAAAGCTTGACAGACCGACCTGAGGAGCTCGGTGCCAGGCTGGGAAGGGAGTCCAGCCTGTGCACTCAGAACTGGCAGCTGCTTCAAACCTTTCTTAACATGGTCAGGGTTCAGGACGGAGAATGCACATTTAACTTTTATTTCTTATGTAACCAGTTCCGACCTTTGTGCCCCATAACTTGGGATCACTTACAACCCTTCCTTCTCTAGCTATTAAACTCGCGTTTGTGTTTGATCTAAACCAGGGCGTTGGACTGGAGTGTCTGGGGAATGTCACTGAGCCCAGCAGGGCTGGTGAAGGATCGTTACCCTGGGACGGCCTGACAAACTAATCGATGAACTCGTGCTGCGCAGTGACCGGACTGGACAGCACAAGACGCACATCTCTGGGGTGCGAGGCTGGGGCTGGAGAATTTGCGGATGTTGCCCTGGGTGTGGTTCCGGCGTGGCGGGGAGAGCTTCATGCAACTCAGCTGGGGGTGTGTTTGCACACTGGTGGCTGCGTGTGAGCAGAGCTTGGAGGGGCCGGGCGTTCACACAGCAAAGCCGTGTGAAAGACTCCCTGGGCTGGAGGATTAAGGGGGAACAGCGATTCAGCAATCCAGATTGTACCCTGGGGGTGCAGCAGGATCTGTGAAGTGGCCATGGGTCTAATTGTGGGGTGCATGGGGGGCGCAGGGGAATCTGTGCGACTCACCATCGGGCGTATAGCGGGGACGCAGCACGGCCGGCAGCACGTAGCGGGCGGCCCCATCGGGCTCCAGCGGCAGCTCGCAGACGTAGCGCAGGGTCAACGCTGCCTCCTCCCCCGGGGGGCAGGTTCCCCAGGGAGCAGCTGAGCACGTCACCCCCGGCCCCCTCCTGCTGCAGCAGGAACGAGCTCTGGCCCGCGGCCAGCGTATCCCCGTACAGCTCCTGAGCCTGTCGGAGAGACAGGGTCACCCCGAGATCCCGCTGCCCCCAACAGCCCCCTGCCCCCCAGCCAGCACGTCCCCATACAGCTCCCATGCCTGCCAGAGAGACAGGTCACCCTGAGATCCCCCGAGACCCTCGACATCCCACCCCTGCCCCCACGGCCAGCACGTCCCCATACAGCTCCCATGCCTGCCAGAGAGACAGGGTCACCCTGAGATCCCCCGAGACCCTCGACATCCCACCCCTGCCCCCACGGCCAGCATGGCCCCGTACAGCTCCCATGCCTGCCGGGAGAGACGGGGTCACCCTGAGCTCCCCCCAGCCTTGCCCCCCTGGTACCATCTCTCCCCCACAGGGTCCCTGCCCCCTGGTACCTGTTTCTTCTCGCGGAGCTGGGCCTGGATGCAGGTGCCCCCCAGGCGGGCCTGGAAGGCGTAGACGGCCGCCTCAGTGTCCACGGGGAATATGAACACGGCCTCCACGGGCCGTGGCTCCTCGTTCCTGTAGAGCAGCTCACAGCCCACGTCAGCCACGAAGCCTCGGATCAGCACCGTCACCGAGCTGCTGCGCAGGGGCACTGGGAGGGAGGGGGATGTCAGCCAGGGGATCCCCCCCATGGGCGCCAGGGAAGGGGGATGTCAGCCACAGGCCCTGTGATCCCCACGTGCACACGGGGTGGGGCCACCTCAGCCACGGACCCCCCACAAACCCCCATGGGGCCACCCTCCCCCTTCCAGCACCATCCCCACAGCCCTGACTCACCCGGCTTGTTGAAGCGGGTCAGGAGGCCGCAGCTCGTCATCTTGGCTCCGGGATCGGGGATCTGTGCGGGGAAAGGGTGGGTGAGATACGGGGTTCCCGTGGAAACTGACAGGCAGAGGGGGGCCCCCCGCCAGCGACTGTTCCGAGACCCCAGCCCCTGCTCAGCCATGTCCTGTGGCAGGGAGTCCCACAGGCTCTCAGTAGCCTAGCTCAGAGATCAGAGTGATGGCTTCTCTCGGGACCCCCTTCCCTGCACACGGTGGGGATCGGGGTACAGCTGGGAGCCGGGGGATGGACGGCGAAATGTGGGAGAGTGTGGTGGTGCATACACCCCATCATCAGGGCTCTCAGCTGGGCCAGACAAACACAATCAGGGTCTCTGGCAGCAATGACCACATGCCAGCACGGGACACGAGAACCTGGGCCCACCCTGCTCCCACTGGGTCCCTGCCCCATGGAGCTGGCAATCTCCCGGGTCAGGATTCAGGTCTCGGCTCCCAGTCTAGTCCCTGGATCACTTCCTACCCCTGCGTCCTCCCCAGTCAGTGGCTTGGCGTCTGTGGAGTTGGGCAGTGCCCTGGAGCCTAGTTGGGGAGACTCACGTCTGGAGGTCACCTCTCCAGGATCGGAGAGTGCACACCCTGTCCTCCACCACCTGCTCCCTTTTATCCACACCTGCCACCTTTAGCATGCCCAGGCAGGGGCAGGGCCTCCGTGGTTAACCCCCGCTTGCCCAGTGCGGGTGGACACACCCCCTCCCAAGGGAGTGTATGGTGCTGGATGGACGGACAGAGGGAAGGAAGAAGGGTGTGTGGGAAGAACAGTGCATGTGGGGAGTGAGCGTGGATGGACAGAAGGAAAGGTGTGTGGGGTTGCTGAGGACGGACAGATGGACAGAAAGGGGTGTCGGACAGGCGTGGGGATGAGGACAGATGGATGGAAGGAAGGGGAGTCAGAGCAGGGGGTGAGGATGGACAGACGGATGGGCGGGGGGGTTAGACAGGCATGGCATGGGGGGATGGGCTGGTGGGATCTGGAGGCAGCTCCAACCCAACAATGTACTGAATTTCCTGCTCTGGTTCCGATCCAAACTCCCACCCCTCCCCCATTCTGGGCCCCGCTCCCAGTGCCACGCTGGGGGGTTAAAGTTGGGGGAAGGGGTCAGGGAGCCAGGACTCCTGGCTTCTATCCCCAGCCCCTGGGGAAGCCCTGAAGCAGTGCCAGGCTGTGGGGAAGTGGGTGGGTCACTGGGGGGTTCACCCAACTGGGGTGTCACCCTGCAGAGAACAGAGGCGGTTTGCAGAGCAGCCGTTCCAAGCGGTGGGGGTATGTGCGTGCTGCTATGTATTTTCACTGGGGGCACAGCTGGGGGCTCCTGTTCCCGGTCCCGGAGCCGGCCAGCCTGGGCCTGGCGGGGGTGAAAGGCCGGCAGTGGGCTGGGTTCTCCAGCAGCAGGAACCCGGCTCTGAATGCGCGGGGAGTCTCTGTGGAGGAGCGGGGATCTGAGGGTGCGGGGCGGGGGGGGGAGGGGCGCGAGGAACTCCAGAGCTGCATGACCAAGAGAGGCTTCAGACCCCGCTCTCGGGGCCATGTTTCATCTTGCTGCCGCTCGGCCAGGTGAAGAATTCCCAGCTCCGAGGCTGGACGGGAATGTTGGGATCACCCGGGTAACCCGCACACCTGGCAAGGCCTGGAATGAACTTCTGGGGAAACTGAGGCACAAACCCCCATCCTGCTTCAAACGCTGGCTGCCATGGAGGGTCAACCCCGATCTTGGGTGAGCTGTGCCAATGGCTAGTTACCCGTGCCCAAAAAAATGCATCTTCCTTTCAGTGCGACCTCATCTGCCTGCTACCCCCAGTCCCGGACCGGAGCCAGAGCAGGGCCTGTGATGCTGCTGCTCCCCCCTGGGGCAGGTATTCACAACCGGGGTCCAGGCTCCTCGTTGCCTGCTCTGGGGTAAGCACCATAGGCTGGGAAATGGTGGAGGCCCCGGGAAAGGCTCTGGCGGGGAAGGGAAGCTGGTTGTTTGTCGCTGGGATTTAACTCTGACACCTAGTTCCCTGGCCGGAGAAAGGGAGTCGGCGTGAAAGCTACAGCAATTCACGGCTGCGGCTCTTGCTGCTGCAGCTGCTTCTGGCAGAGCGCCCGAGGCTGAGTCACTGGCTGGCGGGTGAGGTCTGAGCGGGGAACAGGCCCCCAGTGGCCCCCAAGAGCCAGTGGGGAGCAGGACAGACCCGGCAGGTGCCATGGTGATAAGCACCGGGAGATCCATGCAGGGAGAAGTAGAAAAAGGAACAGAAAGGGGTGGGGGAACTAGGGGTTGGACAGGGCAGAGCCACAAAGGTTTAGGGGTCACCTCCCTCCAACCCCCCAACCCTGCCCTGGCACGAGGGCCCCCACATCCAGGGAGGGGAGACTCTGCAGGGGCAAAGCCCTGAGTCAGGGGGATAGGTCCAGACCTGGGGGCAAGGGGGGGACCCCTGGACACGGGGGGCAGGGGCACGACCCAGAGAGGACTGAGGGACCCTAGACCCGGGGGGCAGAACTAGGGGGACCATGATGGACCTTACCTCAGGGGAGGGATGCAGAGTCTGGAAAATTGAAAGTAACTTTTCCCCGCTAACGCCGCCCCACCCAGTGAAGGAGAGTCTGCAAACTCCTCACTCCCAGCTACTCTAAATCAGGGACTGTCTGCAACCCCTTCCCTCCACACAGCTAGCCATGTGCTAGGGCGCCTCTGCAAACTACCCCCCCTCCTTGAACTGGGGCTTTGCTGCCCTCCGAGGCCATTTCACTGGCAGGCCCGCTGTCAGCTCCAGCTGCGCTGCCTTCCCCAAGGAGGGTCTGACATGCCAGACACACACCGCAGGGGACCCCTAAACCCAGCCCTGGGTGGGCACCAAACACAGCTGGAGCATCCCCCCAAACTCTGATTATACTAAAGATCAGAGTCAGTCCCTGGGCTGTCCTGGCCTTATTGACCCCCGGCTGTCACTTGTCAGACAGATATTGAACCAAAACCTGGGGGGAACAAGAGCTTTTTATTTTATTTGCTATTCCTGATACTTTTCATTTCAGAATCGTTAGGACACGCTCCCCATCCCCGACCCCCCAGTGAGACTCATCACCCCACTGGGACTCAGGAAGCAGCTCCTGCCTCTCGGAGCAATGGGCTCAGGCTCTCTGCAGACTCTGGCCTCGTTAGTCATACTCTGGGCAATTCCCAGCTTTCATGGCTCAGCTGGCTGGAACAGCAGGGGCCTGTGGAAAGCCCAGGAGCTGTGAGCGGACAGGCTGCAGGGACGTGCTCTGCAGTCCCTAGTCCCGGGGCCAAGGGAGGCATGTTTGGGGCTATGGAGTGGAGTCTGCGGTTACTGCCTGGGAGGAGGGAGTCTGGGCTGGCAAACCCAGATGGGGGATCAGGAAAGGCTCAGGGGAAAGCAGTAAGCTACAGGACAGCACAGAGCTGGGCTGCTGAGCAAGGGTCCGAGCTGGGACCCGGAGCAGAGGGCGACGCAGTTCCCCTTCCATTCCCTGGGGCAGGGGCCCAGACCGAAGAGCGGATTGCCTGGGACATTTTGCCCCGAAAGCCTTTGATACCCTGGAAGGGAAGGACACTAGGACCTGGCTGGAGGGCCAAGTCACCCCGAGGCAGCTGCAGCTCCTGGGGAGAGGGGCTGCGGAGTGAGCGGGGACAGTGGGAAGTGAGACCCCAGAAGAGGGTGCAGCACCTGGAAGGAACAATGGCTATAGCGGCCAGGAGGAGGCGCCCTAGCAGCAGGTGGTGATGTGGCTGTACAGCGTGGCCCCCATAAGCAATGCAGGGTGCCAGTCTGCGGTGGACTCGATGCACAATCCCGTGTCCTGCGGGAGGCTGGATCGGATGGACACTCCTCCTGGCCCTAGAGCCTATGGAGCCATGAATCTGGGACAGGCCCTGGCCTGGCCCCCAGAGGTGGTCGCACCCTCCTTCCCGCCCTGTCTCTCCCGGAGCCCCGGTGGGGTTGCCAGACTAGGGAGAGGAAATGCCCCAATGCTGGGCACAGAGCAGAGAGCTCCTCGGATCTGCCCTGGGGGAGCTGGGCCCATGAGCAGAGGAGGCCCAGTGCCCCACGTGAGCTCAAATGAGCTAATCAGCAGGTGTGGGGCTACACCTGTGGATGGGCAGGGACTCCACGGAGGAGTGGGGTGGGTCCTCGAGGTCGCCCTGGGGCCCGCGCATTGGAGGGGAGCAGAGCTGGCTGGGTCAGGGAGGCTGCCAGAAGCAAAGTCACCAGGGGCCCCCGGGAGGTTGCCCTGAAACCTGCGGCCCAGGGGCGACCTAAAGGCTAGTTCTGGAGGTTTGATTTGCTGGCATTTGGCCAAAACACCTCGTTAGTGGGACTGGGGAGGGGAAGGTGCATGCCAGGGGGCTGGGGAGAAGCCCTGCCTGGGACGGTGCCCCACTGTGGGGGAGAGCAGAGATGGCTGGCAGACAAAGCCAGGTCCCACATCCCCCATCAAAACTGGCAGATGGGATCTGTGCTAAGCCCTACCTCCTCTGGGATTTAGGCACCTCTCTGCTCAGGCACCGCAGCCAGAATGCCATCCTGGAGTTAGGCACCATGCCAGGAAAGCCAGGGGAGGAGGGGGTAGATCCATATGACTCCTCGCCCACCTGGCTGTGGGAGACCCAGGTCGATCCCCTTCCACCTGCCAGGGAGACGGGATTTGAACCTGGGCTCCCCCCTGCAGGAGAGCGCACTGACCTCACTGCAGGTGTCACCCCGGAGCTGCCGTGAGGAACAAGCAAGGGGAGCTGTTGAGTGACGAGCGAGTGACTCTGGAGTCTGGTGCCTGCAGATCTCCCCACGGGGCAAAGAGCAGGACCCCCGGCTCCCCTGCCTAGTGAGTTATTGATCTAGAGAACAGCAGGTCTGGCTGGAGCCTCCCCTGGGTTAGCCCAGAGCTCTGGGTTCGGGTGCTGCAGCCTGGTGAGAGAAACATGCTCCCGGCCTCTCTCCCCATCCGGGAGGGTGGGGAACTGAACCAGGGCGACTGCTCAAAGCCCTGGGGTAAAAGCCGTAAGGAGCAGCTGGAGCTAAGAGCACAGCCACTGGATCTGCCCTTGCGACAGCTGCTTGGAGCCTCCCGCCGGAGGTGCAGGGCCTGGGGCAGTCATGGACCCTGACAGTGAACATCCAGGTGCAGCAGGAGCTCGCAGGACTCAACAGCAGCTGAGCAGGGTTGGGAAATGCCGTGGAAGCCCGAACGTTGGACATCAGAGCCGGAAGTGGGAGTTGGGCACCTCTGTCTGAATCGTAAGATCCTGTGCTAGCTGTGGGCAGAGTTAAGAGCATTTGGGGGCCATGCTCTGCGTTTCCTGGCTGAATGGGTTTGTATTTCTTTTCAGTGTCATGGAGACGGGGAGTCTCTGGGGTTTGCAACACATGCTGTGGGGATCCCGGCACCAGCCATGGGATATTTTTTACCTCACAGGGACCTCACCTTGAACTTCACCTTAATGGAGCTTTCTGCCTGGTCACCTACAACGAGCCTGGATTCCGCCTGCTCCCACCCAGCTCCTGGGCTCGGGGGGGGTTGGCCCACCCCTAGGCCCCGGCTGGGTGCCAGCTCCCCTGGGTTTATAGCTGTTACACATCAGGATGACAACCCCCATCCCTCCAGACTGCCCGGGGGAGCTGGGCACCCAGCTGCCGTCTGGGCCTGGAAAATCTCCCCCCGTCTTTTTGCTCTAGAATTGTTCCTTCCAATTTCAATACCCTGGGCTGGCAACATCAGGACCTGGCCCCACAGCCGCTGGGGCTCAGCGCAGGAGACTTGGCTGCCGGAGCCCACGTGGCTGTCAGCGTCAGCAGCGTGGGGGACGGGGGGGCGTGTGAGCAGGGGGGAGAGCGTTTGCTGCTTCCCTGTCCCATTACAACACTGCTGTGGCCTCGCTCCAGGCAGGGCCGGAGGTTCCCGAGCTGCAGGGGCATTGGATGCCTGGTTCCCAGGTATCTGAATGGGAATCACGCGCCCAGCGGTGGCCGAGCAGGGGCTGATTTTCCAGGCCTGGCTGCTCCTTCTCCTGCGGGAGCAGAGACCAGTTGGGGGCGTCAGGGATCCGCACAGACCCACAGCTAAAACAACCTGCTAAACCCTGCCCATGGCCCATGCCCTGCGTCTGCCACCTGCACCCCACGTGCTCCCCGCTCTCCGGGGCTCCTCCCGGCCCTAGCCAGCCGCCCCGGTGTCTGGGTCCAGCAGCTCTGCCCCATCAGAAAGCCGGTGCTGGGAGTGCTAATCCGCCTGCTCAGGGCAGGCCGTCCCTGACCCTGCTGAGAACCCAGTGCCCTGGGGAGCCGTGGGGAGTGCAGAGCCCCGGGACCCCAGGCAAAGCCAGGCAGACAGACAAACCCGGGGAACTGCTTTATTCCAGCGAGGGGCTGGCAGAGACAGGCTCCGCCCGCAGCACTAAGGGCCTGTCGGTCTGGTGTAAGTTACAGGGCCAGTGTAAACAGTTTTCGTTAAACTTATGCAAACCAATTGGCTGCTCTTAATTTAGGATCCCTGGGGGGGCTCTGCATGGCTGGAGGCCCAGGGTAGCTGGGGGGAAGGGTGCGGGGGGCAGGAGGCGGGGCGGGGGCTCAGAGACTGAAGACGGCAGGCCCAACGCTGCAGCCCAGCAGGGTGTTGGCGGCTTCCAGGCATTCGCTCAGCCGGGGCCCTGCAACGAGAAGAGGGTCAGGGGGAGACATCAGTCTGGGGGACAAAGAGCAGAGAGCTCACAGCCCGGGGGGAATGGGACGGGGAGCAGGGGGCTGGGAGCCTGTCTATCCTGGGACTGGAGGCTTCTGGGGATCTGGCTGGGGAGCCAGAGGCTGTTAGGATGCCGGGGGGCAGGGGACCCTGGGACCAATGGGGGGCAGGATCTCAGGGCTGTGGTTCGCAGGACGGTGGGGTCCCATGGAGTAGCGGTGGTGCTGTGGGCCTGGAGGATCTCGTGTGGGGCGCTGGGCAGTGGGACATGGGGGTCTCGGGGTGGGCTGGGCTGTGGGACAGAGGGTCTCAGTGGGGGCTGGGCTGTGGGGCAGGGGCTCTCTGGTCGAGGCCCTGGGCCCTGCTCCCAAACGCCCACTCCCCTCTCACCTGCGCGGCCCCGCACCCAGCCCACAGCCTTGGCCTCCAGCAGCTCCCACTCGTCGCGCTGCCCCGCAGCCCGGCCGTGCAGCCAGACCACGGCCAGCACCGTGGCCCAGACGCCGGGGGGCACGTCCTGGGGGGGGGGGGGGGAAGAGATACTGCCTGAGACAGCGCCCAGTCTGGGGACCCCCCTGTCCCTCCGAGCTCTGCCCCCATCCTCCCTCTCCCTAATGCTGCCCCATCCCCCCACTCTAGGGACCCCACCCCCCGGGGATCCCCCTGCACTTCCCCAGTGTTCCCCCCATCCCCTGCCCTGGGGACCCCCCAATCCAGCACGCCCACCCCTTCCCCAGGCTCAGAGGATTCCCAGCCCCCCGGCTCTAGCACCGTGGACCCCCTACTCAGATGCCCAGTGGCATTCCCGGGGGTAGGGAGACAGCCTCGGAAAGGACCCAGCCTCGGCCTCCCTATGTCCCCCCCGCAGCCCTGGGCTCCCTCGATCCAATGCGCCGATCCCCTGTAAGGGGGTTTCTAACTCCCCTCTGTGGGCCTGTCTTCCCCACTGGGCTCCAGGTTCAGGGGTCATTGGATCCAGACGCTCTTAGACCCCACCCTCAGTCTGGGTCACACACAGTCTCATCTAGGAGCAGAGAACAGGCCCAACTCATGGCACCTGCCCTGTCATCTCTCCCCTCTCCTCCGCCCCCCACACTCACCTGACTGGGCATCCTCCCCCTGGCATCGGTCTCGCTCACCCCCAGCGCAGTGGCCAGCTGGGGGTCCAGGTCCCATGATCCGTCGGCATTCTGCAGAGACACCAGCCTCAGCAGGGGAGACTCCTCTGGTGCCCACTCTAGGGAGAGACGTGGGGAGATGGCTCTTGCACAGGGTTATGGATACAGAACAGCAATGTGGCCTGTCCAGGCTGAGGGACAGCCAACAAGCTTAACTGTGACACCCTGTGCATCCTTAACTCTGCCCCTCCATGGACATCCTTAACTCTGCCCAATCCTTTATCTGCTCCTCAGCACCCTTAACTCTGCTCCTTCCTGCACCCATGGGATGACAATTAATTTGCAGTTGGACTTAGGAACCAAACTTCCTTGGGCCCCATGAATGTCTCCGCCCCAGTCATTAATCTCACAACCCCAGGGTGTTTCTCAAACACAATCTGACCCCGGGACCATCCCACACTATAGCCTGCAATACAGACCTATGTTCAGGGAGACACAGAAGCGTCTAAGGGTATAGGGGAGATGGGATGTTATAGAGTCTATACGATATTATAGCCATACCTGGGCCAGGGTTATGGGACACAGTTAAGGTTACCTGGGCTACTGCAACTTTGTATTTCCAGACTCTTCCAATTCAGGTTTTAAGGGTAGCCTTAACTTTAAAATTCTGCCTTTTGTGGGCTTCTTCATTTAGAAACCAGACCGTGCCAACCATGATCTGTGCCCCTGAACTCACCTGTACAAACATCCAAGCCTGGGCCCAGCGTCACAAGGTATTTTTGTCTGGGAATTTAGCTGCGTGTCCATTTCAGAGAAAACTGCTCAGCGACATTTCTGTTCCTAAAAAGCAACTGATTACCCCCTCCGCTGCCCAGTTGCCCCCCCCCTTAGCTCATTGATACAAACTCACACCCCAAATTCCAGTTTCACAGAGTTTTTTGCCTGGAAGTTTCCTTATTTTTTTTTTTTCATTTTGTTGCAAGATAATTTGTGTCACAACACTTAAAAAACCCAGCTGCGGACTCCCCCTCCCCCAGCATCACACCGGTATTTTGCCCAGGAAGTTCCTTCGGATCAGATGTTGCTGTTAAACACTTGCCCAGCTCCGGGACCGTCAGGGCACGTCTGTCTCGGATCCAAGGAAGTGTCATCCTGGCGTTTGCCGCCCGCCTCGAGTCCTGACTCCCAGCCCCTGCTCCCCTCACCTTTCTGGGAGGCAGTCTCTGGCAGGGTGTTGTGTATGCAGGACTTCCTGCCCTCGCGTCGGGGGCTCCCCCGGCTGAGCTTTGGGATGGGGAGGGAGTCAGGAGGCACGGTGCTGGGGGAGGAGACAGCCAGTACTGGCCCTGGGGAGCTCTGGGGGAGAGTGCCCCGGAGGGGATGGGGGAGGGAGCAGCTCTCACCTGGCACATCTGAGCTGTCCTCAAAGTCGCAGACCATGGCGCAGTCCATGGACACATCGGAGGGCCCTTGGGCCCAGGCCATGGGCCCAGGGGCAGAATAACACATCTTCTGCAGGGGGGTTGCAGCCCCAAAGTCTGGGGGGGGAGATGGACAGACAGAGTGGGACAGACAGACACGCAAACAGAGACAAACTAAGAGAAGGAAGGGAAATCCCCCCACCCACGGCACCCAGAGCGAACACAGCACTAGGACCCCTCCCCCATGCCCCCCAGCTGGGACCCCCTACACCGAGCCCCATCCTCCTCTCCCCCCAGCTCCCTCAGAGTCAGGATCCGCCCTAGCCCCTTCCCCACAGGCTGGGGCCCCCTGAATCCAGCCCCTCCCCTGCAGCTTCCCCCCAACTGGGACCCCTCATCCAGCCCCAGAGGACACGGGGGTGGGTGCTGCACCCCATGAATGAGGGCAGGATGCTGGGGGGGGCGGCGAGAGGCCCCCACTAGCCAATCCGGCTAATGACAGCAATGTGCCCGCCCCTCTAGTCCCTGCCTCTGTCTGGGTCCGACTGTCTGATTCTCGGTCTCTGCCCCAGTCTGTTTGGGTCTCTGGTTCTGGGTCCATCTGTCTGTCCGTACGTTCCACAGGCCCCACTCTCCTGGCTGGGATGGGTCAGGCCCCGTGGGCTGTCCCCGTCCACCCAGCCAGCGCCTGCCACTCCCCCCTGCCCTGGGAACGGGGGCACTGAGGTTGCCCTGGGGGGCAGCACAGCCCCACGGGAGCTGGGGCAGGGACAAGAGCAAAGGGACATTAGCCCATAACTGTGATGCCCCCTCCCCAAGCTTCAGGGTCCCTCCTCTCACACTGGGATCCCCCTGTTCTGGGATCCTTCCCATAATTCCCTCCCCCTTCCCTCGCCCTGGTGCCAGGTTCCCCCAACAGTGCCAGGTTGGTTCCTCCTCCCACCCGAGCCCGCCCCCCCCACATGCTGATCCCTCCCCAGTGCCGGGATCCCCGGCCCATCCGGGGTTACCTGCCAGCGGGATGTCCCGTCTCACCAGCGGCCCCTGCACCGGCTGCCCCCGCTCCGTGTCCACCCCCACGTAGGCCGTGAGGGAGCAGATGACCCCTGAGGCCAGGCTGGTCGCCAGTGCCCGGTGCTGGTCCCCCTCCGACCCGGTGTCCATGGCCCCCTCCAGCTCCAGCAGCAGCCATTTGGCTGCCAGCCGGTGAACGGGCAGCCTGTGCCGGGGACAGAGTCGCGGGGTGAGCCCTGGACGCCTGGGTTCCTGCCACCGTGGGGAGAGGAGCAGGGGCTAGTGGGATAGTGTATTGTTGGGGGGAGCCAGGACTCCTGGGTTCGATCTCTGGCTATAGGAGGGGAGTGGGGTCTAGTGGTCACAGCAGGGAGTCTGGGAGCCAGGACTTCTGCTTCCTTCTGTGACCTGGGACAGGTCCCATCCCATCTCTATTCTGTTGGTGGTGGGGATGTGGGGGGCAGGACCCGGTGGCTTGGTGAGGATGTGGACCATGGGAGTGTTGCTGTCACCTGTCTCCATCTTGTGGCTGCAGGGGGAACTGCAGCATCTCCTTGTAGGTCTGGTCCTGGATGCGGTACTGCAGGGTGACGCCCCCCACGGCAGTGTCTGGGGGCTGCGGGCAGAGAAAGGGGGTCAGAGGTGGAGTGCGAGGGGGGAGAAGATGCCTGGGGACCCTCCCAGACCCAGGTTACAGAACAAAGGGGGAAAATATGCTTGATTCACAGCAGTTGGGGGTTGCCTAGTCAGCCAACAGCCATCATTAGGATCAGGAGTTAGCGACCCCCTTTGAGATCAATGGGGCTGGGGTAGCACAGAAACCTGCAGCCCAGTGGTCACTGGTAGGGGACACAGTTATCGATCCCCACGGAGGTCATGTCTACACTACATACTGCAGTATACCTATGTCACTCAGAGATGTGAAAAATCCACACCCCTGAACTGCAGCGCCCTGAGCGACGTAGTTACACTGACTGTAGCCCCCCGTGTAGACAGCGCCGTGTCGGTGGGAGAGCTTCTCCCGTTGGCTTAGAGCATCTTCACCAGACATGCTACAGTGTCGCAGCTCCGCCAGTGTAAATTTGTAGTGTAGACCTGCCCTGAGATCAATGCAGCCAGGCTAGTGCAGAGACCTGCAGCCCAATGGCTATTGTTAGAGGTCAGAGTTAACAATCCCCACTGAGATTGATGGGGCTGGGATAGCACAGAGACGCACCCCAGCCCAACTGCCATAATTAGTGATCAGAGTTAACAACCCTCACTGAAATCAATGGGGCTGGGGTGGCACAGAGACCCCCAGAAAAATGGCCATCATTCAGGTTCAGAGCCAACAATCCCCACTGAGATCAATGAGGTTGGGGTAGCAAAGAAACCTGAAGCCCAATGGCCATCATTAGGGACCAGAGTTAACAATCGCCACTAAGATCGATTGGGGTTGGAGTAGCACAGAGACCCCCAGCCCAATGGCCATCATTGAGAACGTAAGAGCAGCCATACAGGGTCAGACCAAAGGTCCATCTAGCTCAGTATCCTCCTTCCAACCGTTTAAACCTGCTGCCTATTAATTTCATTTGGTGATCCCCCTAGTTCGTGTGTTATGAGAAGGAGTAACACTTCCTTATTTACTTTCTCCACACCAGTCATGATTTTATAGACCTCTGTCATATCCCCCCCTTAGTCATCTCTTTTCCAAGTCATCTCCTTTTCCAATAAGGTCCCAGTTTTATTAATCTCTCCTCATTCAGAAGCTGCTCCATACCCTTAATCATTTTTGTTGCCCTTTTCTGAAACTTTTCTAATTCCAATATCTCTTGTTTGAGTTGGGGCGACTAGCTCTGCACGCAGTATTCAAGATGTGGGCGTACCAGGGATGTATACAGAGGCAATGTGATATTTTCTGTCTTATTATCTAGCCCTTTCCTAATGATACCCAACATTGTGTTTGCTTTTTTGCTGCCGCTGCACATTGAGTGGATGTTTTCAGAGAATTATCCACAATGTCTCCACGAAAAGGAGGACTTGTGGCACCTTAGAGACTAACCAATTTATCTGAGCATGAGCTTTCGTGAGCTACAGCTCACTTCATCGGATGCTGTAGCTCACTTCAAGCTTATGCTCTAATACATGTGTTAGTCTCTAAGGTGCCACAAGTCCTCCTTTTCTTTTTGCGAATACAGACTAACACAGCTGCTACTCTGAAAAATGTCTCCAAGATCTCTTTCTCGAGTGGTAACAGCTAATTTAGACCCCACCATTTTAGATGTAGAGTTGGGATGATGTTTTCCAACGTGCATTACTTTGCATTTATCAACATGGAATTTCATCCGCCATTTTTTTGCTCAGTCAGGTTTATATAATTTTTGGTGGTGCCCAGAAAGGGTCCAAGCAGAGCTGTCCAGTCCATAGGACAGACCGGGGCAACTTCCCCATGGGTACCCGTGCTTCAGGGGGACGTGGGGTCCAGGGCGGCCTGGGGGATTAGCAGGGGGCCTGGCGCTGGCAGCAGCGAGTGACCTGGCCCCGGCCCACTCTCCAGCGCTCTGTCCAGCCGGCTCCCGGCGTCGCTCGGGGGAGGCAGGGCAGGGGCGCGTGCTTTGGGAAAGGGGTGGAGTGGGGGTGGGGCTGGGTCACTTGCTGCTGCTGGAGCCAGGCCCCCTGCTGACCCCACAGGCTGCCCTGGACCTCGCGTCCCCCTGAAGTGTGGGCCCCACAAAGCGCAGGGCCCGGGGTGGTTGCCCTGGTCCGTCCTATGGACGGGATGGCTCTGATTAAATATAAGCCCAAACATTGGTGGAGCCGTGCCCACGTTCCTGAATATGGGTGGAGCATGGGCACCACAGGCCCATATAACTTGCTGCCTATGTTGTGAGATCCTTTTGTAGCTCTTCGCAGTCTGCCTAGGACTTGACTGTCTTGAGTACTTTTGTATCATCTGCAAATTTTGTCACCTCACTGTTTACCCCTTTTCCCAGATCATTCATGAATATGTCAAATAGGTCTGGACCCAGTACACACCCCTATTTACCTCTCTCCATTCTGAAAACTCACCATTTATTCCTACCCTTTGTTTCCTGTCTTTTAACCAGTTACTGATCCATGAGAGGACCTTCCCTCTTATCCCGTGACAGCTTACTTTGCTTAAGAGTCTTTGGGGAGGGACCTTGTCAAAGGCTTTCTGGAAATCTTAGTACACTATATCCACTGGATCCCCCTTGTCCACATGCTTGTTGACCCCCTCAAAGAATTGGAGTAGATTGGTGAGGCATGATTTCCCGTCACAAAAACCATGTTGACTCTTCCCCAACAAATTCTGTTCATCTATGTGTCTGACAATTTTGTTCTTTACTCTAATTTCAACCAGTTTGCCTGATGCTGAAGTCAGCCTTATTGGCCTGTAATTGCCGGGATCACCTCTGGAGCCCTTTTTAAAAATTGGTGTCACATTAGCTCTTCTCCAGTCACGTTTAGTTTATCAGTCTGTTCCAAAACCTCCTCTAATGACACCTCAAGCTGGGACAGTTCCTCAGATTTGTCATCTAAAAATAATGGCTCAGGTTTGGGAATTTCCCTCACATTCTCCACCGTGAAGACCGACGCAAAAAATTCATTCAGTTTTTCCGCAATGGCCTTATCGTCCTTGAGTGCTCCTTTAGCACTTCGGTCGTCCGGTGGCCCCCACTGGCTGTTTAGCAGGCTTCCTGCTTTGGATGTTCTTAAAATTTTTTTTTGCTGTTACTTTTGGAGTCTTTGGCTAGCTGGTCTTCAAATTCTTTTCTGGCTTTCTTAATGATATTTTTACACTTCACTTGCAGGAGTTTATGCTCCTTTCTGTTCTCCTCACTAGGATTTAACTTCCACTTTTTAAAGGATGCCTCTTTACCTCTCACTCCTTCTTTTAGAGTTACCACCCAGGAGGGGGTGGGAGGTTCCTGGCTCAGTCACTGATCCTGAGCCCTGGGGGCGTCCCGGGGGGGGGGGTGGCTCGCTCTCTCACCTGGGGCTGTCCGCGGAGCCGGGCGTAGATGAGGCACCGCTGCCCAGGGAAGATCACCTCAGGGCCCCGGCCCAGCAGCTCCGCCTCCATCCCAGGGGGCAGATCCCAGCTCAGCGAGATCCGGGTCATGGCCGGCTGCAGGGCCCGCTTCAGAGACTGCAGTGCCTGGGGGAGAGACCAGCACACGCAGGGTGGAGCCAGGACACCAGGGTCCTATCCCCAGCCTGGAGGTGGGCGTGGAGACTGGTGGGTTTGAGCAGGATGGCTGGGAGCCCGAACGCCTGGGTTCTCACCTTGGGCTGCATGCGGTCCTGGCCCGTGATGAACTCGGCGCTGCCCCCTGCTGCCCGGGCGATGCCTTTGACCAGAGCCGTGGAGGCCCCTTCCCCAATGCCGAAGGAGAAGCACCTGCAGGTGGGCAGTGTCCGGGGGGAAGAGGTGTGTGTCAGAGACAGGAGGGGGAGGGGCAGAGCGAGAGGCCAGTAGGGCTGGGGGCAGGGTGAGATGAACGGATGGGCAGATGCTGGTGTTGGGGGTTTTTCCGCTGGTAGGGCTGGGGTGCAGGATTGGGGAGATGATGGGACAAAGGTTCTCCATGCTGGCAGGGCCGGAGGGAGAGAGTATGAGGTTGCTGGGGGGTTGCCAGGTCAGCAGGCAGCTTTGAGGAGATAATGGAGGGCAGGGTTGGGGGGTGCTGGAGGTTCCCAGGCTCGGGGGAGAGAGTTTGGGGCTGCTGAGGGTGTCCATGCTGGCAGAGCTGGGGGGCAGGGTTGGGGGGTGCGGGGTAAGGGTTAGGTTAGGGTTTGGGGCATCTGCCCTGGCTTCCGACAGTCTGACCTGAGGTTGGCACTCTTAGCTGGGAGCCACTCCGCACACCGTGACAAGGTTGGGGGGAATCTAGGGGGCAGAGGTGCTGGGAGGCAGGGCTGGGGGGCACGGTGGGAGGGATGCTGGAGGGCAGGTGCCCCCATTACCTGTGCGTCCCCCGGTGATGCTGCACCTCTGTGATAACCTCCTGGGTGTTCACCACCTCCCCGTCCGTGAACACGAACAGCTGGAGGGGGAGAGACGCTGTCAGAGCCGGGGACCCAAAATCCCCCTGGAGACACCCCCTCCCCCTGGGAATAGTGGCAGCCCCCAGAGAGCCTGTCCCACTGACCCCCCTCCCAGAGACCCCCAGCCCCATGAGACCCCCCGCGGCACTCCTCCCTCCCTCCCAGAGGCCTCCCCGGGGGGGCTGACAGACGGGGACCCCTGACTAACTGGGAACCCAACTGTCACCTCTTCCCTGGCCCCTGGAGACACTAACCCGCCTGACTGTTGTGGGCACCTTTCTGGAAGCTCCCTCCTGCTCCCCACCATGTGCCCTCTCTGCCCCCTGGTTGCAGGGCACCCCCCAGTGCTGCCCCCCAGCTCTATACAGAGGTACCCCCTCCGGCTCCTGCCTGCCATGCCCTGCTCCCATCCCCAGGTGCACCAGCCCCCTGTTGCCCCCAGTCCTACTCTGAGCCCCCCAAGTCCTGATCAGCTGGCTCCTGGCTCCCAGCCCCTCTCCAAGCGCCCCCTATCAGCTCCCACCAGCCTCAGTCCCTCTCCGAGGCCCTGGGATGCCCTGTGGCTGCCCCGATACCTGGCGTGGGTGCCCGTCCCGGCAGGGGCTGCTGTAAATGGCTCGTAGCGGTGCCAAAATCTCGGTGCCCCCCAGGTCAGCCTGGAGCTGCTGGACGCGCTGCAAGGACTCTGCCATGGTCTGCTGGGTGTATCCCACACTCTGCCTGCGGGGGATGCCGAGGGGTCAGGGGCCAGGACAGGTGGAGCCAGGGACACCCTGACCCCAGCCAGCCCTGCCCCCAACCCACAGACACCCAAACCCCAGCCTGCCCTGCCCCCTAACCCAGTTAGCAACCCCCAGCCCCCCTCCGACTCACGGGTAGAAGGACTCAAACTGAGACCCAAAGCCGTAGATGTTGAAATAACAGCCCAGGGGCAAACTCTTCAACAGCAGGACCAGGGTCTCCTGGGGATGGACAGATGGACGGAGTCACTCCTCTGGTCCAGCCAGCCTGGGCTCCCCCCTACCCTCGGTTCTGCCCCCCGCATGCCCAGCCAGCCTGAGCTGTTCTCCTCCACAGGCCCATCTAACGCGGCCTCCCACCTTGCTGTACCTTGGCGCTGTCGATGCGCTGGGGGGAGTAGTCTTGGCCGTCCATGGGGCACTCCATGCTGCCGGAGCGGTCCAGCAGGAAGATGAACTCCCCGGCAGGGCTCTGGCCCAGCACCGCCTCGGGCAGGCTGGGCAGCAGGGTCACCATCAAGGCCGGGTCACCCATCAGGGAGCCTGCGGGGAGATGGGGCCAGCCCCAAATGGGGTGGGCATGGGGTGGAGTCCTGTGAGCCTGCGAGAGCCCCCAGTCCCTCCTGACTGCCCCAGAGCCCCACCTATGTCCCTCCCACACACTGCCCTCCCTCTAGATCCCCCACTGCCCCCAGCCCCTCCAGTAACCCCCAACTGCCCCAGAGCCCCACCCCCACTCCTCTGTCCCTCCCCCGACTTCGCCCTCCCCACAGATCCCCCACCATCCCCAGCGCCTCCCGACTGCCCCAGAGCCCCACCCCGTCCCTCCCCCCAGACCTCCTTCTCATAGATCCCACACTGCCCCCAATTCCCAGCCCCCCAGGGGCTTGCCCTTCCATCACCCGTTCTCCCCTGTATCCCCAAACCTGCAGTGCACCCCAGTGTTTACCTGCTCTCAGGAACTCCGCCCTCCCACTCCCAGCTCCACTGAGACCCCCCTGCTCTGGCCCCCCAACACCTCATCTCCAGCTCCTTCAACACCCACCCATAATCATAAGAAGGACCAGACTGGGTCAAACCTCCATCCAGCCCAGTATCCTGTCTGACAACAGTGGCCAAAGCCAGGCGCACCAGAGGGAATGAACAGAACAGTGAGTCACCAAGTGATCGATCCCTTATCGCCCATTCCCAGCTTCCGGCAAACAGAGGCTAGGAACACCATCCCTGCCCATCCTGGCTAATAGCCATTGATGGACCTATCCTCCATGAATTTATCTAGTTCTTTTTTGAACCCTGTTAAGGTCTTGGCCTTCACAACATCCTCTGGCAAGGAGTTCCACAGGCTGACTGTGCCACTGTGTGAAAAAATACTTCCTTTTGTTTGTTTTCAAACTGCTGCCTATTAGTTTAATTTGGTGACCTTTGGTTCTTGTGTTATGAGGAGTAAATAACACGTCCTTATTTACCTTTTCCACACCAGTCATGATTTTATAGACCTCAATCACATCCCCCCTTAGTCATCTCTTTTCCAAGCTGAAAAGTCCTGGTTTTATTAATCTCTCTGCATACAGAAGCTGTTTCATACCCCATATCATTTTTGTTGCCCTTTTCTGAACATTTTCCAATTCCAATGTATCTTTTTTGAGTTTGAGCGACCACATCTACACACAGTATTCAATATGGGGGCGTACCCTGAATTTATCTAGAGCAGCGTTTCTCAAACTGGGGTCCGCGAGGGAACTCCATGGCGGCCGCGGGCCCCGCTGATCAACTCTTCCCCCTCCCTCCCTCAACTCCTCCACGTGGAAGCGGCTGCCAGCTCCCTGTGGCCCCGAGGCGGCCAGTGAGGCTCCACTCACTGCCCCCACCCAAGTGCCGGCTCCGCAGCTCCCATTGGCCAGGAAGGGGCAGGGCAGGGCGTCCCCAAAAAATTTTAAATCAAAATGGGGGTCCTTGGATTGCTGAAGTTTGAGAACGGCTGATCTAGAGGCGATATGATATTTTCTGTCTTATTCTCTAGCCCTTTCCCAATGATTCCTACCAGTCTGTTCGCTTTTTTGACAGCCGCTGTACATCAAGTGGATGTTTTACTCCCGGGGGGAATTCTGCACCACTGCGCATGCACAGAATTTATGTCCAGCACAGATTTCTTTGCTTCCCCTCAAAAAAAAAAAAAAAAAAAAAAAAAAAAGGATTTTCTGACGGGGAAGCAAAGGGAAGCCACGAGAGTGGTCCTGTGACCCTCCCCAGCTGCAGGTTTCAGGTTCCCAGGGCAGCCAGTAGAGCGGTATATCACTGTGGGGCAGGACTGGGGAAGACCCGGCTGATGGCTCCGACCCTGTGCTGGGTTCAGCTGCTAGTCCCGGCTGGGCTGGGGAGGGCGGGACTTCCTCTTCCCCTGCACGGCATCCGGGGCCGGGTCAGACCCACCCCCAGATTTCTCCCCTGACTGCAGAAAGCTCTGCAAAGTCCCCCCCACCCCCGCTGGCCCCACTTCCTGCACCCTTTGCTCCTCATCTGCAGGGGGAGGGATCCCTGTACAGGGAACTGTTCCTCCACGCGCCCAACCCCCTGCATCCAGACTCATACCCAGACCCTCCCGCCAAGCCTCACCCCCCTGCACTCGGATCCCCACCCCACTGAGCCCCACTCCCCCAGCATCTGGACCCCCCCCGGATCCCCCTTCTCCAGACCCCCCTGCAGAGCTCTATCTCCCCCCACCACCAGACCCCACCCTGCTGAGCCACAACCACCTTCACCTGGATCCCCCTGCAGAGTCCCATTACCGCTGCACCCAGAACCCTCCAACAAGCTCCTGTGCATCCAGATCCCCCTGTCCACAGATCCCCCACTGAGCCGCCCGCACCCAGACTGCCCCACACAAAACCTTCTCAACCCACACCTGGATCCCCCTGTGACGAAGTGGAACTGTTCTTAATGTTTCCTCTGAATAGTGTGGGAGTGCCTCAGTTTCCCCAATGCAGTTCTTAAGTATCTAGGTAGTGGGATAAGGGTGTATGATCGTTGCAGAGCCCTAGAGGGCAGGTGTGTGCAGGGGTCTGGACACAGAGAATGGCCGACACCCTGTTTCCTGGCCACTGATGGCCTGGCCCTTCCCGCCTGCAAGGTGAGAGCTAAAGGGTCGGAGAACAAAGGAATCAGGCGACCTCCTGGCCCCGGAAAGGGACAAAGCCCAGAGGAGGGGAGGCTGGAGGGAGTTTCAGTTTGGGGCTGGCTGGAGACATGGAGTGAAGGGCAGACATGGTTGTCTGGCTCACGGCCCCCCAAAATGGACCCAGCTGAGGGGTCTGGTTTTCTGCACCTACAAGCTCTGTTTTAGACCATGTTCCTGTCGTCTAATAAATCTCTGTTTTACCTGCTGGCTGAGAGTCATGTCTGACTGTGAAGTTGGGGGGCAGGACCCTCTGGCTTCCCCAGGAGCCCCGCCTGGGTGGACTCGCTGTGGGAAGCGCATGGAGGGGCAGAGGATGCTGGATGCTCTGAGGTCAGACCCAGGAAGATGGAAGTTGTGTGAGCTGCGTGTCCTGCAGACGGGCTGCTCACAGAAAGGAGACTTCCCCAGAGTCCTGACTGGTTTTATGGGGAGCAGATCCAGAGCATCGCCCAGGGACTCCGTGACACCCCCACACTTGGATCCTTCCTTGCTGAGCCTGCTTTCCTACACCTGGGGCGCCTGGCACGGACGGGCAGGGCCCTGGGATGTTTCTGTGCCAGGCCCTGTCCTTGCGCTGTGTCAGGGTTGGGTGCAGCCTCACTGCTGAGTCCGTGTCCCGGAGGGAGCCGCACAGTGAATGTTTATGCAAAGTTTATTCTCCTTTCTATTTCCCTCAATAGGATTTAACTTCCACTTTTTAAAGGATGCCTCTAACTCAGGGGGGGACAAACTTTTTGACCCGAGGGCCACATCAGGGTGGGGAAATTGCATGCAGGGCTGGGGCAGGGGGTTAGGGTGTGGGAGAGAGTGCAGGGAGTGGGAGGGGGTGCAGTGTGCAGGAAGGGGCTCAGGGCAAGGGAATGGGGTAGAAGAGGGGTGCGGGGTGTACGAGGGGGCTCAGGACAGGGGGTTGAGGTGCAGAAGGAGTGCAAGGTGCAGCAGGGGGCTCAGAGCAAGGGGCTGAGGTGCAGGAAGGGTGCAAGGTGCAGCAGGCGGCTCAGGGCAGGGGGTTGGGGTGCAGGAGGGGTGCGGCAGGGGGCTCAAGCAGGGGGTTGGGGGTACGGCGGGGGCTCAGGGCAGGGAGTTGGGGCGCAGGAGGGGTGCGTCAGGGTGTTGAGGTGCAGGAGGGGTGTGGGGTGAAGCAGGGGGCTCAGGGCAGGGAATTGGGGGGCGGGGTGCAGGACGGGTTTGGGGTGTGCGCTCTGGCCCAGCGCCGCTTACCTAGAGAGGCTCCGGGGTGGCAGCAGTGTGCACCGGGGCCAGGGCAGGCTCCCTGCCTGCCTGTCCTGGCCCCGCGCCACTCCGAGAAGCGTCCAGCACCACGATCCTGCGGCCCCTAGGGGAGTGGGGGCAGAGGGCTCCGCGCACTGCTCTTGCCTGTGGGTACCTCCCCCGAAGCTCCCATTGGCCGTGGTTCCTCGTTCCCGGCCAATGGGAGCTTCCGGGAAGGTATCCACAGGTAAGAGCAGCTCGTGGAGCCCTCTGCCCTCCCCCCCCAGGGGCCACAGGGACTTGGTGCCGGATGCTTCCCGGAGCGGTGACGGGCCAGCGGTGCCACGGGGGTGGCAATCCCGCAGGCCGAATCCAAAACCCTGAGGGTCAGATCCGGCCCGCGGGCCGTGGTTTGCCCACCCCGCCCTACTTCTTTTACTTTGTTGTTTAGCCACGGTGGCACTTCTTTGGTTCTCTCTGTTTTTTAATCTGAGGTATACATATAAGTTGAGCCTCTATTATGGTGTCTTTAAAAAGTTTCCATGCAGCTTGCAGGGATACCACTTTCTGCACTGTACCTTTTAATTTCTGTTTAACTAACGTCCTCATTTTTGTGTAGTCCCCCTTTCTGAAATTAAATGCTACCATGGTGGGCTGCTGTGGTGTTTTCCCCGCGTGTTAAATGTTAAATTTAATTATATTATGGTCACTATTACCGAGTGGCCCAGCTATATTCACCTCTTGGACCAGATCCGGTGCTCCACTAAGGACTAATCAAGAATTGCCTCTCCTCTTGTGGGTTCCAGGACTAGTCATTTAAGATGTCAAGAAACTATCTCCGCATCCCGTCCTGAGGTGACATGTACCCCGTCAATATGGGGATGGTCGAAATCCCACATTATTATTGAGTTTTTTATTTTAATAGCCCCTCCAGTCTCCCTGAGCATTATCACAGTCACTATCACCATCCTGGTCAGGTGGCCGGTAATATATCCAGACTGCTATATTCTTATTATTCGAGCATGGAATTACTGTCCACAGTGATTCTCTGGTACAGTTTGGTTCATTTAAGATTTGTACTTCATTTGATTCTCTGCTTTCTTTCACATAGAGTGCCACTCCCCCGCCAGCACGACCTGCTCTGTCCTTCTGATATATTTTGTACCCTGGTATTACTGTGTCCCATTGATTATCCTCATTCCACCAAGTCTCTGTGATGCCTATTATATCAATACCCTCATTTAATACAAGGCACCCAAGTTCACCCATCTTATTATTTAGACTTCTAGCATTGGTATATTAGCACTTTAAGAACTTGTCACTTTTTAGCTGTCTGCCATTACATGATGTAATTGAATGGGACTTTCCTTTAGTTGACTGTTTCTCATCAGATCCTACCCATATTTTATCATCTTCCATCCTCTCCTCGGTACGAGGACATAGAGAGCCTCCATCAATAGATCCTCCCTGTCTGAACCACGTGCTCCTCTGCACCTGTCGGCTTCCCCCCAGCCCTTACTTTAAAAACTGCTCTAGACCTTTTTAACCCTGCCCCCAGATTCCCCCTGCACCCCTCTGAGCACGCAGCCCCATCAGCCCTAGGACCCCCCCATTCCCCTACCATCCCCCTCACTGCCCCGGGACCCACGATCCCAAATCACCGACCAGAACACTCCTCCCCCACATCCCTCCCCCTTGGATCTCCCCATTCCCACCCCACCGGCCAGGGGCATCAGGGTGCAGGACCCCCCCACCTGGCTCTGCTCCGGGCAACCCGATCTCCAGCACTGCGCTGGGTTTGTGCGGCTCCGTGTAATACACCAGCAGCTCCACGTCTCGGTCCCATGGGGGGCCTCGGCCAGTGACACCTGGTAGGGCGACAGATACAGTCATCTAGCCATGGCTCCTGGGGGGCAGGGTCCCGCTGGGTCTTGTGTCAGGCTCAATGCCCCCCATGCAGCCAGAGGGGAGGGAGCAACTCTGGGTTAGGTGGGAGGGAGAGAGGGAAAAATATCACAAAGGCAACACGGGGACTTGGCTCTTCTTGCGGAAAACACTGCAAAAATTCTGACTTTGTTGGGCTAAATCTTTCCAATTTGGAGGTGATATTTTTCCACTCCCCCCCTATTTTCTTTCATTGAAAATCAAGGAGAATGAAACTCCCAGAAAGCAAAGGGAACCAGGGCCCCTCGAATGTCCAGGATTTCACCCCCATGGACTGGTCTCAGCCCCTTGAGATTTTCCCCAGAGAACGCGGGCAATTCCCCAGATCCACTGGTGTCGCTTGACCCTCTCCCCCGCAACCCCATGCCTTCTGGGACCCACCCCCTGCCCCATCCCAGAGCTCCCACCTCTGTAGATGCCCACCCAGGACCCACACCCAGACAGTCCCCTGGCACCACCCCTCAGCCCAGAGCTCCCATCACCTCCCTGCTCAGAGCTGCCCCCCAATACTGACCTCCCAGTGGGGATGGACGAGACTCAGGTGTCCGGGTGAACACTTACCTGGGCGGTGGTTCGGTTCCCAGATGTGTAGCTCAGGGGGGAGAGGGAGCAGTTGGAGAGCACACGGTCGATGCCGTGGGGCGACTGCAGCGTGGCACTCAGGCTCAGGGTGTAGGGCAGCTCCCCCTGCGGGACTCGTGGGACGCCCTGGGTGACATCCTCCCCATCCCACCCTGCAGAGAGAGACACAGGGTGAGCATGGGGCCCAGGCAGAGAAAGATGCATCCTGGAAGTGAATGCCTGGCTGTGAAGATGGTGTAGCCAGGAGGGCTTTGGCTTCCTTAACCACGAGATGCTGTTCCAGGAAGGACTGCTAAGCAGAGATGGGGTCTACCTAGCGAGGAAGGGGAAGAGCATATCTGGATACAGACTGGCTAACCTAGTGAAGAGGGTTTTAAACTAGGTTTGAAGGGGGCAGGTGACCAAATCCCACAGGTAAGTCAAGAAGATGGAGACCTGGGAAAATTTGGGGGGAACATGGACTGTTATAGGAGGGATAAAGGAGAGACAAGACAGAACTGGGTGGGGGGGGGGAATCAAACAGTATCTTAGATGTCTGTATACTAATGCAAGAAGTATGGGGAATAAGCAGGAAGTTGCAGTGGGGAGGTTTAGGTTGGATGTTAGGAAAAACTTTTTCACTAGGAGGGTGGTGAAGCCCTGGAATGGGTTACCTAGGGAGGTGGTGGAATCTCCTTCCTTGGAGGTTTTTAAGGTCAGGCTTGACAAAGCCCTGGCTGGGGTGATTTAGTTGGGGTTGGTCCTGCTTTGAGCAGGGGGTTGGACTAGATGACCTCCTGAGGTCCCTTCCAGCCCTGATAGTCTATGATTCTATGAACTCGAAATGCTAGTAAATAAACACAACTATGACACAGATGGCATCATGGAGACTTGGTGGGATAATACGCACGACTGGAACATTGGTCTAGAAGGGTACAGCCGGCTCAGGAAGGACAAGCAGGGAAAAAGGGAGGAGGTGTTGCCTCTTATATTAAAAATGGATCCACTTGGACTGAGGTTGAGCTGGAAATAGGAGACAGACCTGTTGAAAGTCTCGGGGTAAGGATAAAAGGGGTAAAGAACAAGGGTGATGTCAGGGCAGGGGTCTACTACAGACCACCCAGCCAGGAAGAAGAGGTGGCTGGGGCTTTTTTTAATCAACTAACAAAATCATCCAAAGCCCCGGACCTGGCGGTGATGGGGGACTTTAGCTCCTCAGACATCTGGTGGGAAAATAACACAGCAGGGCACAGATTATCCAACAAGTTCCTGGAATGTCTTGGAGACAATATTTTAATTCAGAAGGTGGAGAAAGCTACCAAGGGGGGAGGCTGTTCTAGATTTGATTTTGACAAATAGGGAGGAACTGGTTGAGAATCTGAAAGTGGAAGGCTGCTGGGGTGAAAGTGATCATGAAATGACAGAGTTCATGGTTCTAAGGAATGGTAGGAGGGAGAACAGCAAAATAAAGACAGTGGATTTCAAGAAGGCAGACTTCAGCAAGCTCAGGGAGTTGGCAGGTAAGAGCCCATGTGAAGCAAGTCTAAGGGGAAAAACAACTGGAGACAGTTTGGCAGTTTTTCAGAGACGTTATTAAGGGCAGAAGAGGAAACTATCCCACTGCGTGTATGAAAGATAGGAAGTACGGCAAGAGACCACCCTGCCTTAACCAGGAGATCTTCAATGATCTAAAAATCAAGAGTCCTATAAAAAGTGGAAATTAGGTATAATTACAAAGGATGAATATAAACAAATAACACAAGTATGTAGGGACAAAATTAGAAAGGCCAAGATGCAAAACGAGATCAAACTAGCTAGAGAGATAAAGGGTACAAATACTACAAAGAAGCAAGAGCAAGAGCAAGGACAGGGTAGGCTCATACTCAACGAGGCGGGGATAATAACAGAAAATGTGGAAATGGCAGAGGTGCTTAATGACTTCTTTGTTTTGGTTTTCACCAAGAAAATTGGTGGTGATTGGACATCTAACGTAGTGAATGCCAGGGAAATGACTGCCTAGGATAGGAGTACTGCGGAAAGGGATCTGGGAGTCACAGTGGACAACAAGCTAAGTACAGTCAACAGTGTAACACTGTGACAAAAAAAGCAAACCTCAATCTGGGCTGTATTAGCAGGAGTGTTGTAAGCAAGACACGAGAAGTAATTCTTCTGCTCTACTCTGCATTGATTAGGCCTCAACTGGAGTATCATGTCCAGTTCTGGGTGCCACATTTCAGGAAGGATGTGGACAAACTGGAGAAAGTCCAGAGAAGAGCAACAAAAATGATAAAAGGTCTAGCAAACATGGCCTATGAGGGAAGATTGAAAAAATTGCGTTTGTTTAGTCTGGAGAAGAGAAGACCGAGGGGGACATGATCACAGTTTTCAAGTATGCAAAAGGTCGTTACACAGGAGGAAGAAGAAAAATTGTAAGAAGCAATGAGCTTAAATTGCAGCAAGGGAGGTTTAGGCTGGACATTAGGAAAAACTTCCTAACTGTCAGGGTGGTTAAGCACCGGAATAAATTGCCTAGGGAGGTTGTGGAATCTCCATCACTGGAGATTTCTGAGAGCAGGTTAAACAAACACCTGTCAGGGATGGTCTAGATAATTAATCCTGCCATGAGTGCAGGGAACCGGACTAGATGACCTCTCAAGGTCCCTTCCAGTTCTCTGATTCTATGGGGGGTGTGGGCTATTGGGGGGGATGGGGGGATGCTGGGATATCAGGGGAAGGCCCGGGGGGGTCCACATACCCTGGGGTGGGGATTGCAGGGCTGGGGGGGCACTTACCATGGGGCACACAGTAGTGGTCTATGAGGGTCCATGTGGGTCTTTCCCTGTGGGGTACATAGCAGGGGCTAGGAGGTCTCAGGGGGTTACAGGCTGTGGGGTCACTCACTGTAGGGTGCGCAGTGGGGGTGTTGGGAACTACAGGTCTCACCAGGCAGGCTAAAGTGGCAGGAGGATCTGTGAGTCTCACCATCGGGCGTGTAGCGGGGACACAGAACGGCCGGCAGCACATAGCGGGCGGCCCCATCAGGCTCCAGCGGCAGCTCGCAGACGTAGCGCAGGGTCAACGCTGCCTCCTCCCCGGGGGGCAGGTTCCCCAGGGAGCAGCTGAAAATGTCGCCCGCGGCCCCCTCCTGCTGCAGCAGAAAGGAGCTCTGCCCCCCGGCCAGCGCGTCCCCGTACAGCTCCTGCGCCTGCCAGAGAGACAGGGTCATCCCGAGATCCCCCTGGCCCCTGAGATTCCCCTGCCCTACCCCCGGGCTAGCATGTCCTCATACAGGTTACTTCTGGGGGAATTCTGCACCACTGCGTATGCCCAGAATTCACGTCTGGTGCAGACTCTCCCCCCTGCAGATAATAATTCTGCCTAAGAAATACTGCAGTTCCACCTTTCTTCCTCCAGAGGCCGCTGTGACACCAAAACAGCCAGGAGCTGGCTCTGTTCATCACAGCACGCTGCCCGTGGAGCCAGGTTAAGACAGAGTGGGGCACACGGGGCTGCAAGGGGCGTCACGGAGAGGGGTTCAGAAGGGCTGGTGGGGGCGAGAGACTGGGCAGTGGGCTCAGGAGCTTGTGGGGTGACACCATTGAGCCAGGGACTGAATGGGAGGGGGGCTGCAGGGCCACATGGGAACAGGGAAGGGGGATGCAGGGACACACAGGGATGGGGGAGGAGGCTGCAGAGACCGATGCGGGGTGTGGAGACGGGGCAGATGTGGCTGACTGAATGGGAGAAGATTGGTGTGAGCCAGGGTCTGCCTGGGGGAGGCTCCCCAACTCCCTAAAAATCCGCCACTCCCCACAAAAAACCTGTTCTATACTTCTCCCATCCACACCCAACAACCCTCCCGATTCACTCCAGGCTCCTTGCCTCTTCCTCAGCTCCTCCGTTACCCCTGACTCCCATAAGCCTTTGTGCCGCTTCTGAGGCGTGCAGGAAATACAGTTTTATACTGGGGGCAGGGATAGCTCAGTGGTTTGAGCATTGGCCTGCTAAACCCATGGTTGTGAGTTCAAGCCTTGAGGGGGCCATTTAGGGATCTGGGGCAAAAATTGGGGATTGGCCCTTGTCATAAATATAAAGGGAAGGGTAAACCCCTTTAAAATCCCTCCTGGCCAGAGGAAAAATCCTCTCACCTGTAAAGGGTTAAGAAGCTAAAGGTAACCTCGCTGGCACCTGACCAAAATGACCAATGAGGAGACAAGATACTTTCAAAAACTGGGAGGAGGGAGAGAAACAAAGGGTCTGTGTGTCTGTCGGTATGCTGCTTTTGTCGGGGATAGAACAGGAATGGAGTCTTAGAACTTTTAGTAAGTAATCTAGCTAGGTATGCTTTAGATTATGATTTCTTTAAATGGCTGAGAAAAGAATTGTGCTGAATAGAATGACTATTTCTGTCTGTGTGTCTTTTTTGTAACTTAAGGTTTTGCCTAGAGGGATTCTCTATGTTTTGAATCTAATTACCCTGTAAGGTATCTACCATCCTGATTTTACAGAGGTGATTTCTTTACTCCTATTTACTTCTATTTCTATTAAAAGTCTCCTTGTAAGAAAACGGAATGCTTTTTCATTGTTCTCAGATCCAAGGGTTAGGGTCTGTGGTCACCTATGCAAATTGGTGAGGATTTTTACCAAATCTTTCCCAGGAAGTGGGGTGCAAGGGTTGGGAGGATTTTGGGGGGAAAGACGTGTCCAAACTACATTTCCCAGTAAACCCAGTTAGAGTTTGGTGGTGGCAGTGGTTATTCCAAGGACAAAGGATAAAATTAATTTGTACCTTGGGGAAGTTTTAACCTAAGCTGGTAAAAGTAAGCTTAGGAGGTTTTCATGCAGGTCCCCACATCTGTACCCTAGAGTTCAGAGTGGGGGAGGAACCTTGACAGCCCTGCTTTGAGAAGGGGGTTGGACTAGATGACCTCCTGAGATCCCTTCCAACCCTGATATTGTGGAAAAAAATTACCAGAATCTTTTTTTCGGTCTGTGTTGTTACAGATGTACTTGCTGGCTGTATTTTGAAATAAATTACCAAAATAATGGAAACTGGCATGATTACATTGTGTTATTTTGACCAAAAAATATGCAGAATTTTAAAATATTGTGCACAGCATTTTAAATTTTTTGGTGCCTAATTCCCCCATGAGTAACAGCTCCTGCACCTCCTGAAGAGACAGGGTAAGCCTGAGATCTCCTTCTCCCACGAGATCCCTCTGCCAGCATGTCCCCGTACAGCTCCGGCACCTGCTGGGAGAGATGGGGTTACGCCGAGAGCCCCTGCCTCCCGACATCCCTCTGCCCTGCCCCCCGGCCAGTCCGTACCCATACAGCTCATGCGCCTGCCGGGAGAGACGGGGTCACCCTGAGATCCCCCCAGCCCTGCCCCCCGGGTACCGTCTCTCCCCCCGGGATCTCTGCCCCCCGATACCTGTTTCTTCTCGCGGAGGTGGGCCTCAATGCTGGCGCCCCCCAGGCGGGCTTGGAAGGCGTAGACGGCCGCCTCGGCGTCCACGGGGAACACGAATACGGCCTCCACGGGCCCTGGCTCATCGTTCCTGTAGAGCAGCTCACAGCCCACGTCAGCCACGAAGCCTCGGATCAGCACCGTCACCGAGCCGCTGCGCAGGGGCACTGGGGGGAGGGGTACGTCAGCCAGGGGATCCCCACTTGGGCGCCAGGGGAGGGGGACGTTAGCCAGGGGCCCCTCTGACCACCCCTATGAGCTCCAGGGGAGTGGGACTTCAGCCATGGGCCCCTCTGACCCCCATGGGCGACAGGGAATAGGGCTGTCAGCCATGGGCCTCTCGGACCCCCCGATGGGTGTCAGAGGAGGGGGACGTCAGCCATGGGAACCTCTGACACCCCCATGGGCGCCAGGGGAGGGGGACGTCAGCCATGGGACGCCCCGCCCTGACTCACCTGGCTTGTTGGAACTGTTCAGGAGGCCGCAGCTTGTCATCTTGGTACGGGGTTGGGGATCTGTGCTGGGAAAGGGTGTGTGGTGAGATACAGGGTTTCCATGGAAACTGACGAGCACAGGGTGTCCCCCCAGCAATGACTCCAAGACCCCAGCCCCGCTCCCCTGCTCAGCCAGGTCATGTGGCAGGGAGTCCCGCAGGCTCTCAGGCCGAGCTCAGAGATCAGAGTGACAGCTCCTCTCGGGCCCCCGGTCCCATACATGGCGCCAGCCCCCAGCAAGTAGGGGCAGGCAGGGACCGGGGCACTGCTGGGAGCTGGATGGAGAAATGTGTGCAGGGGGGGGGATGGGGATGGATGGACAGACTGATGGGAGGGGGGTGGGGATGGATGTTTGGATGGAGGGAATGGCTGGGAGAGGGGTGGAGAAATCTAGGGGAGCCTCACAGGGTCCTGCGCGTCTGCTGTGGGGGATGGGATGTCCCGCTTGCCAAGAGTGAGATGGATACACCCCGTCTTCAGGGCTCTCAGGGGAGCCAGACAAACAAAATCGGAGAGTGCAGGGGGGTGAGGACGGACAGATGGACGGAAGGGCGGTTGGCAGCGCGGCGGGGGCTGAGGATGGACAGACACATGGAATAGGGGGTTGGACAGTGTGGCGGGGGGCGAGGATGGACAGACAGATGGAAGGGGGGTTGGACAGTGCAGGGCGGTGAGGCTGGACAGACAGATGGAACAGGGATTTGGACAGTGCGGCGGGGGGTGAGGATGGACAGACGGACGGAAGGGGGGCTGGATAGTGCGGTGGGAGGTGAGGATGGACAGATGGACGAAAGGGGGGTTGGACAATGCGATGGGGGGTCTGGGGTGAAGATGGACAGACGGATGGAAGGGCGGTGGACGGTGCGGCGGGGGGTGAGGACGGACAGACGGACGGAGGAGGGCTGGACAATGTGGCGTGGGATGAGGATGGACAGATGGATGGAAGGGGGGTTGGACAATGTGGTGGGGGGTGTGGGGTGAGGATGAACAGAGGGACGGAAGGGGGGTTGGACAATGCGGTGGGGGGTCTGGGGTGAAGATGGACAGACGGATGGAAGGGCGTTGGACAGTGTGGCAGGGGGTGAGGACGGACAGATGGACGGAAGGGGGGTTGGACAGTGCGGTGGGGGGTGAGGACGGACAGAAGGGGGGCTGGACAGTGCGGCGGGGGGTGTGGGGTGAGGACGGACAGGCGGACGGAGGGGGGTGGACAGTGCGGCGGGGGGTGAGGGCGGACAGGCGGACGGAGGGGCGTGGACAGTGTGGCGGGGGGGTGTGGGGTGAGGACGTACGGGCGGACGGAGGGGCGTGGACAGTGTGGCGGGGGGTGTGGGGTGAGGACGGACGGGCGGACGGAGGGGGGTGGACAGTGCGGCGGGGGTGTGGGGTGAGGACGGACGGGCGGACGGAGGGGGGCGGACAGTGCGGCGGGGGGTGTGGGGTGAGGACGGACGGGCGGACGGAGGGGGGCGGACAGTGCGGCGGGGGGTGTGGGGTGAGGACGGACGGGCGGACGGAGGGGGGCGGACAGTGCGGCGGGGGGTGTGGGGTGAGGACGGATGGGCGGACGGAGGGGGGCGGACAGTGCGGCGGGGGGTGGGGGGAGGACGGACAGGTGGACGGAGGAGGGCGGACAGTGCGGCGGGGGGTGTGGGGTGAGGACGGACGGGCGGACGGAGGGGGGTGGACAGTGCGGCGGGGGTGTGGGGTGAGGACGGACGGGCGGACGGAGGGGGTGGACAGTGCGGCGGGGGTGTGGGGGGAGGACGGACGGGCGGACGGAGGGGGGTGGACAGTGCGGGGGGGGGAGGACGGACAGGTGGACGGAGGGGGGCGGACAGTGCGGGGGGGGAGGACGGACAGGCGGACCGAGGGGGGTGGACAGTGCGGCGGGGGTGTGGGGGAGTGAGGACGGACGGGCGGACGGAGGGGGGTGGACAGTGCGGGGGGGAGGACGGACAGGTGGACGGAGGGGGGCGGACAGTGCGGGGGGTGAGGACGGACGGGCGGACGGAGGGGGGTGGACAGTGCGGCGGGGGTGTGGGGTGAGGACGGACGGGCGGACGGAGGGGGGGTGGACAGTGCGGCGGGCGGGGGGGGGAGGACGGACAGGTGGACGGAGGAGGGCGGACAGTGCGGCGGGGGTGTGGGGTGAGGACGGACGGGCGGACGGAGGGGGGTGGACAGTGCGGGCGGGGGTGTGGGGGTGAGGACGGACGGGCGGACGGAGGGGGGTGGACAGTGCGGCGGGGGTGTGGGGGGAGGACGGACAGGTGGACGGAGGAGGGCGGACAGTGCGGCGGGGGTGTGGGGTGAGGACGGACGGGCGGACGGGAGGGGGTGGACAGTGCGGGGGGGAGGACGGACAGGCGGACGGAGGGGGGGCGGACAGTGCGGCGAGGGGTGTGGGGGGGAAGGCGGACGGAGGGGGGGCGGACAGTGCGGGGGGGGGAGGGCGGACAGGCGGACGGAGGGGGCGGACAGTGCGGCGGGGGGTGTGGGGGGAAGGCGGATGGAGGACAGTGCGGGGGGGAGGGCGGACAGGCGGACGGAGGGGGGTGGACAGTGCGGCGGGGGGTGTGGGGGGAAGGCGGACGGAGGACAGTGCGGGGGGGAGGAGGGCGGACAGGCGGACGGGCGGACGGAGGACAGTGCGGCGGGGGTGTGGGGGGAGGGCGGACGGAGGACAGTGCGGGGGGGGGAGGACGGACAGGCGGACGGAAGGGGGCGGACAGTGCGGCGGGGGTGTGGGGTGAGGACGGACGGGCGGACGGAGGGGGGGTGGACAGTGCGGGGGGGGGAGGACGGACAGGTGGACGGAGGGGGGCGGACAGTGCGGCGGGGGTGTGGGGTGGAGGACGGACGGGCGGACGGAGGGGGGTGGACAGTGCGGGGGGAGGAGGGCGGACAGGCGGACGGAGGACAGTGCGGCGGGGGTGTGGGGGGAGGGCGGACGGAGGACAGTGCGGGGGGGGAGGACGGACAGGCGGACGGAGGGGGGGCGGACAGTGCGGCGGGGGGTGTGGGGTGAGGACGGACGGGCGGACGGAGGGGGGGTGGACAGTGCGGGGGGAGGAGGGCGGACAGGCGGACGGAGGACAGTGCGGCGGGGGTGTGGGGGGAGGGCGGACGGAGGACAGTGCGGGGGGGGAGGGCGGACAGGCGGACGGAGGGGGCGGACAGTGCGGCGGGGGTGTGGGGGTGAGGGACGGACGGAGGACAGTGCGGGGGGGGGAGGACGGACAGGCGGACGGAGGGGGGCGGACAGTGCGGCGGGGGTGTGGGGGAAGGCGGACGGAGGACAGTGCGGGGGGGGGAGGACGGACAGGCGGACGGAGGGGGGCGGACAGTGCGGCGGGGGGTGAGGACGGACGGGCGGACGGAGGAGGGGGTGGACAGTGCGGCGGGGGTGTGGGGTGAGGACGGACGGGCGGACGGAGGGGGGTGGACAGTGCGGCGGGGGTGTGGGGGGGAGGACGGACGGGTGGACGGAGGAGGGCGGACAGTGCGGCGGGGGTGTGGGGTGAGGACGGACTGGTGGACGGAGGAGGGCGGACAGTGCGGCGGGGGTGAGGACGGACGGGCGGACGGAGGGGGGTGGACAGTGCGGCGGGGGGTGTGGGGGTGAGGACGGACGGGCGGACGGAGGGGGGTGGACAGTGCGGCGGGGGGTGTGGGGGGAGGACGGACGGGTGGACGGAGGAGGGCGGACAGTGCGGCGGGGGGTGTGGGGTGAGGACGGACGGGCGGGCGGACGGAGGAGGGTGGACAGTGCGGGGGGGGAGGACGGACAGGTGGACGGAGGGGGGTGGACAGTGCGGGGGGGGAGGACGGACAGGCGGACGGAGGGGGCGGACAGTGCGGCGAGGGGTGTGGGGGGAAGGCGGACGGAGGACAGTGCGGGGGGAGGAGGGCGGACGGGCGGACGGAGGACAGTGCGGCGGGGGGTGTGGGGGGGAGGGCGGACGGAGGACAGTGGGGGGGGGGAGGACGGACAGGCGGACGGAGGGGGGCGGACAGTGCGGCGGGGGGGGAGGACGGACAGGCAGACGGAGGACAGTGCGGGGGGGGAGGGCGGACGGAGGGGGCGGACAGTGCGGCGGGGGGGAGGACGGACAGGCAGACGGAGGACAGTGCGGGGGGGGGAGGACGGACAGGCGGACGGAGGGGGCGGACAGTGCGGCGGGGGCTGTGGGGTGAGGACGGACGGGCGGACGGAGGACAGTGCGGGGGGGGGGAGGGCGGACAGGCGGACGGAGGGGGGCGGACAGTGCGGCGGGGGCTGTGGGGGGGGGGGCGGGTTTGACCCCGCAGGGTGCAGGGTTTCCTGCTCTGGCTCCGGTCCGAACCCCCCCCCCCGTCGCGGGCCCCGCTGCCAGAGCCGCGCTGCCCCCTGCCGGGCAGAGCCGGACCTGCCAGTCCGGGTCATAGACCCCGCTCCGCTGAGGGGAGTCCCCGCGGCTGGGGGGCCGGCCAGGGGGGAGGGGCTGGGCCGGGCCGTGACTCCAGCCCCCCGGCCGTGTTACAGGGGGCGGCGCTCACACCCTTGTGTGCCCAGCTCGCGGGGTGGGAGCAGGACCCCTGGGTCCTGTCCCCGGCTGGGGGCCCCGGCCCCGAGGCGAGGGGGCTCTGGGGGTCCTGGGGCCCCGTTACCTTCACTCGCCCGCCCCGTGTCGCAGCGGCTGGGAAAGCGAAACCAACCACCCCTGTTCCCGGGTAGCCCCGCCCAGCCCAGCCAGGGAGCGTCTGCAAACTCCCCGCCCCAGCTACTCCCCCCCAGGGGCCGTCCGACGCTCCCGCTCTCGTGGGGAACTTTCCTGGCGTCTGCACTGCCCCGGGGGACTCCGCTGGATAAGGACCCCAGTCCTCGCTCCAGCTCCCTTTGCCCGGAGGCCTGCGTGCCCTCGAGGGGCTCCCCTTCCTCCTTCTGGCTGGGCTAAGTCCCCGAAACCCCAACAAGGCTGGGGCTCGTGTCTGCGCGGCTCCACTAATTAGGCGGGTGGCCCTTCATTCTTTCCTGCGCAGCTGCCCAGGTGTGCACCTTAGAGGGAACTATCTGTGGATCTGTGGACCACCTGAATGGTCCACAGTGCGGGGGGTGTGGGGTGAGGACGGACGGGCGGACGGAGGGGGGCGGACAGTGCGGTGAGGGATGTGGGGGGAGGGCGGACGGGGGGGGCGGACAGTGCGGCGGGGGGTGTGGGGGGAGGACGGACAGGCGGATGGAGGGGGATCTGGAGGGTGGTGTGGATTGCACTCTCAGCAAATTTGCGGATGATACTAAACTGGGAGGAGTGGTAGATACGCTGGAGGGCAGGGATAGGATACAGAAGGACCTAGACAAATTGGAGGATTGGGCCAAAAGAAATCTGATGAGGTTCAATAAGGATAAGTGCAGGGTCACTATGAGGGCGGTGAAACACTGGAATGCGTTACCTAGGGAGGTGGTAGAATCTCCTTCCTTAGAGGTTTTTAAGGTCAGGCTTGACAAAGCCCTGGCTGGGATGATTTAGTTGGGGATTGGTCCTGCTTTGAGCAGGGGGTTGGACTAGATGACCTTCTGGGGTCCCTTCCAACCCTGATATTCTATGATTCTATGAATGGAGCTCATGGTGCTCCGTGGACCACAGTTTGAGAACGTCTGTTCTAGGGGACAAGGACCCGTCCCGTGGGGACACCACAACCAGCTGACTCACAGGCTGCTCCTCCCACGTCCCAGGCGCCCTCAGGCTCTGGGTGGCAGGACCCTTCTCCCCAGCGTTGGCTCCCCCCATTGGGATTGGGTTCCCCCCTCCAAGTCCAACCTACAAGGCCCCTGGGCTGGGGGTATCTCCCTCTGCTGGGCCATCTGCCCAGGGTCCCCCCTTGCTCTCCGACAGGCACAGGTGCAGGGGGAGTTACACCTTGAGGTCTACACGGCCTGGCTCATGCAGGGCTCAGTCAGTGCACAGAACAACTCTTTTCCACGTGCACCAATGGTCTGACCAAAGGACCCCAGCCCAGTAATTTACACCAGTGTTTATGTCTCTGCGGAGACCTTCCATGCCACTCTCGGGTGAGCTTGACTCTAAGCACCAGACCCAGGGGATTTTGATATCCTTATGCCCTCTGCCAGCTGGCATCCAGAGGACCTGGGGCACAGGGCTCTGGGGCCTGTTCTGGGGAGCTGTTTTCCAGTCATTCCCCAGCCGGTGCCCTCTGGGGATAATCACAGCTCTGTGGGCCTCGGGCAGGGTGTGTTTCCTACCCGGTTCCCCGCTTGCTGGGGTTGCCGGGAGTCCCTGAATCCCTGGGCTGGGACGTGTGCCTGGCGCACCATGCGGAAGCCTGATGCTGCAGGAGGCCCTGGGCAGAGATGTCCCGAGAGAACTGGACAGCCTCGGGCCTGAGCCGCCACCGGAGGCTGGGAGGGTGTTAAGGTAGTGAATGCTCTGGCAGTCTGGAGCAGGCTGGCTGGCTCAGGAGAGAAAGGCTGGAGCAGCCGCTTTTCCTTTCAGGTCCCCAGGGCCAAACCCAGCCCCAGGGAGCAGCTGCCCAGCGGTGCCCAGGTGCTGTCCTGGGGTGCGCAATGACAGCACCTGCTGAATGCCCCCTCCACCCGGACCCCCTCAGCGAGACCAAGGGCTGGCCAGTGGCGCTCATCGGGAAGGTGAGGCCCGCGCCCCTTGGGCTTCCCTGCACAGGTCATGCCAGCGGGCACATCGCCCCAGCAGGCCTCCCAGCCCAGCTCCGTGGCCTGGTGCTGAAGCCTGGGGAAGGGCGGGGAGCCAGAGACTGAGCCTAGGCCCAAGCTGTCTGCATAGCTATGGGTCTGGGCCAAGCCCTGCTGGCACAAGTCTGTGGCTCCATGCCGGGAGCTGCGCTGCTGGCTGCAGTGTGCAGAATAGAGACAGACAACCCCGGGGCACATGGAATGGCTCGCACACCTGTTCTCTCCACGGGTCGGACTTAGGAGCAGCAGTTCCTGGGCTCCAGCCCACAGCTCTCCCCACTAGGCACTGCTGTTGCTCGACCTTGGGGAACGTGCAGAAGGCTCCTGGGGGAGAGACATTAACTTCTGCCTCTGCGCCTTTGTGCAGGGCTCCGGGGAGCAAGCTGCCGAGAGCCCTTGGAGAACAGAGCCGGATAAAACCCCTTCCCACGGAGCCAGGCAGTGACTGCCAGGGAGCTCGTCTGCGCAGAGCGATGGGTCAGAGTCTGTTTCTGTATGGGCCGGAGGACTGCGAGACACAGAGGAGCTCTCAGCTTGCTCTGCCTTTGGCCTTGAACTGCTAGCACGATGCCTGTGTTCAAGAGAGCGAGAGCTGTCTACACAAGACATGCCAGCGGCACAGCTGCAGTGTAGACGCCGCTCCGGCGCCTAGCACTGCCAGAAACCTGCTCTTGGAGGCCACAGCGAGGTTGACAGGAGAGTTCATCCTTTGCCTTAGCGGGGTCCCCGACAGGGAAGAGCTCAGCCTCTTCACAGGGCATGAAGTGCTCCCAGCTTGGCAATGCATACCAGCTCGAGACTGGAGTGAATCTGCGACAAAGCTCCGGACGGGACCAGGGGCGCTTTGAGGGAGGGGGAAGCCCCATGTAAGCTGCAGGAAGTCACACGCCCCAGCACAGTGAGGTAGCGGGCCGAGGCAGAGGAGGCCAGTCCTCTGACGCCAGGAGATCAGTTCCCTCCCGAATTTATAAGTGTCACCAAAGCTGCCCAGACATTGGACTTTCCACGGAACAGCAAGTCAAATGCAAAATCTTACGGAATGGCTGAGTGTGCCCTCTACTGATCCACCATGTCCACATGGTTGTTTGCTAGAGACAGCCAGACAAGTGACCTAAGAACAGACACATGCACACACTGGGCATGATGATAAACATGAGCTCTCGTTCTCACTTTGCAAACACCCAGTGTCTTCTCTGCTCTGTTTTCTGCCTTTGAGTCCTCTTTCTCTGATTGCTCTCCATGTCCTCCCCTCAGCACTGGGCAGCTGTCATAAATATAAAGGGAAGGGTAACCACCTTTCTGTAGACAGTGCTGTAAAATCCCTCCTAGCAAGAGGCAAAACCCTTTCACCTGTAAAGGGTTAAGAAGCTAAGATAACCTCTCTGGCACCTGACCCAAAATGACCAATGAGGGGTCAAGATACTTTCAGATCTGGAGGGGGGGGAAAAAGATTTTTCTCTGTCTGTGTGATACCTTTGCTGGGAACAGATCAAGGATACAAGCCCTCCAACTCCTGTAAAGTTAGTAAGTAATCTAGCTAGAAAATGCATTAGGTTTTCTTGTTTTGGCTGGTAAAATAAGCTGTGCTGGAAGGAATGTATATTCCTCTTTTTGTATCTTTTTGTAACTGAAGGTTTTGCCTAGAGGGATTCTCTATGTTTTGAATCTGATTACCCTGTAAAGTATTTACCATCCTGATTTTACAGAGGTGATTCTTTTACCTTTTTTTAAATTAAAATTCTTCTTTTAAGAACCTGATTGATTTTTCACTGTTCTTAAGGTCCAGGGGTTTGGGTCTGTGTTCCCCTGTACCAATTGGTGAGGATTCTTATCAAGCCTTCCCCAGGAAAGGTAATGTAGGGCTTGGGGGGATATTTTGGGGGAAGACATCTCTAAGTGGGCTCTTTCCCTGTTCTTTGTTTAAAATGCTTGGTGGTAGCAGCATACGGTTCAAGGACTCCCTCCGGGAACTGATGGGCAGGATCCCCTGGGAGAATAACATGAGGGGGAAAGGAGTTCAGGAGAGCTGGCTGTATTTTAAAGAATCCTTATTGAGGTTACAGGGACAAACCATCCTGATGTGTAGAAAGAATAGTAAATATGGCAGCTTGGCTTAACAGTGAAATCCTTGCTGATCTTAAACACAAAAAAAAAGCTTACAAAAAGTGGAAGATTGGACAAATGACCAGGGATGAGTATAAAAATATTGCTCGGGCACGTAGGAGTGAAATCAGGAAGGCTAAATCATACCTGGAGTTGCAGCTAGTGAGAGATGTTAAGCGTAACAAGAAGGGTTCCTTCAGATATGTTAGCAAGAAGAAGAAAGCCAAGGAAAGTGTGGGCCCCTTACTGAATGAGGGAGGCAACCTAGTGACAGAGGATGTGGAAAAAGCTAATGTACTCAATGCTTGTTTTGCCTCTGTCTTCACGAACAAGGTCAGCTCCCAGACTACTGCACTGGGCAGCACAGCATGGGGAGGAGGTGACCAGCCCTCTGTGGAGAAAGAAGTGGTTCGGGACTATTTAGAAAAGCTGGACGTGCACCAGTCCATGGGGCTGGGTGCGTTGCATCCGAGAGTGCTAAAGGAATTGGCGGATGTGATTGCAGAGCCATTGGCCATTATCTTTGAAAACTCATGGCGATCGGGGGAAGTCCCGGAAGACCGGAAAAAGGCTAATGTAGTGTCCATCTTTAAAAAAGGGAAGAAGGAGGATCCTGGAAACTACAGGCCAGTCAGCCTCACCTCAGTCCCTGGAAAAATCATAGAGCAGGTCCTCAAGGAATCCATTCTGAAGCACTTAGAGGAGAGGAAAGTGATCAGGAACAGTCAGCATGGATTCACTAAGGGCAAGTCATGCCTGACTAATCTAATTGCCTTCTATGATGAGATAACTGGTTCTGTGGATGAAGGCCAAGCAGTGGACGTGTTATTCCTTGACTTTAGCAAAGCTTTTGACATGGTCTCCCACAGTATTCTTGTGAGCAAGTTAAAGAAGTATGGGCTGGATGGATGCAC